GAGAAGGGTTGAAGATTTTCAGCTCAACATTCGGCATCTTGTACAGATGTCTTTAGAAAGATTTCAAATTCTTTTGAATTATTATTTTATTATATTATTATAGCTAAGTTGAAATAATGTACCATGTCATTATCTTTGTTGTTTGTGGTTCGTCATAAGAAATCCATGTCTTTTAGTTCCCGGCGAATACCGAGATACGCAATTGGGTAGCTATCACAATTTAAAAAACGTATTTTGAAGCATCATCATTGTGCAGTTAAAGTATTTTTGCTTCAGATGCCTATCAAAACAGACATCTTTTAAAGCTTTTGCAAAGCTTTAAGGGACTCCACAATAAATTTATTGCAGTTGAATATCCATGCAATATTTTATATATATTAAGAGTTACCGCAATTTCACGATATGCAATATGATGATGTTATATTGATGTCATTAACAGGTAAACAACAGTCGATATAATAATGTCAGCATTACATTCATGAAAAGCCAAAAAAAAAGTGGTCAAGAGTAAAATCTGTATAAAGCCAGAATTACGAGATTGATATATAACATATATACTATTCGAGTCAATGACATTTATAGAGATCAAATTAAAGAACAGTTAGTAATTTTCTTACGACCCTTTTGGTACTCAAAGCTTTAAAGAGTCGCACATGACGTAGACATGTATAAGCCGTACGTCAAACGAAAATGCTTGGTTTTAATGGAATCGTACAAAGATTAATAGTTTATTTATGAAAAGTGAATTTTAATAATAACCAACTATAATAATTTAATATCAAACTAACTCGATAGAGCATCAGTGGGAACTAAGAATGGTTAAAAAATCACGTTCCACTTTTCATTACGCCCACATACCATAATTGCTTTCGAGTTTTCCAGATGCAAATCCGATGAACTATTCCAAGGTGAAGACTAAAAAATATGCCAGTATGGATGCGTTAAAAAAAGCCATTGTTCAGGAATGTGCCAAAATACCGAAAGATCACATTCGTGAATCATGCAACTCATTTTCTAACCCTTTGATGGCCATAGTCAACGCTAAAGGTGGCCACATCCAGCAACAGTGAATGGATACTGAATTATTGATTATTTTAACAAATTTTTGTAATTTTAATCAATAAAAAATAATTACATACAAAAAAGATATGGTCGCTTCAATCGCCTAACCCTGTATATAATAAAGAATAGTGTTTATTTTGAAATTTTTTAATACTTTTAATAAATTTTATTTATTTAACTTTCGTTATAGAAATTTGTCGCATAAACTCCATAAGTACATTAGTATTAGTTTTATCATCCCTGTTGGAAACGGATCAATCCATCATTGAATTAATCTGTATGATATACCTAACGACCACTCAGTTCAAATGTTTAATGATTATTGATAAAATTTGTATGTATATTATTCTTTGTATTAAATAACATTTTGCAAATGTATTTTGAAAATTGGATGCGTCCCTAGGTTGCAGAGTATCCATGTTCCGCGTAATTGCCATAAATGGAACAAAAACAAAACAAAAACATTTTGCAAATGTCTGTCGAAGATTGAATGCGTCCATATATGGCACATAGACACTGTTTGTTTGTCTTTAAAACAATATCATAAAAGATAATTTTGGCAACTGGGTGTAAGTCTTTTATTCACATACAACTGTAGCACATCTAACTTGAATACGGAAAACTATTTCAAATATTTGTATTTGCAGTTTGCAAAAGCATAAGAACCAAATGAGGTCTGTCGAAGAAGGGTTCAAATTGACTGTATGGCAACTGGAATTCACTAGTAAAATGCAACTTAAGTTAACCTGAGTTGTACACCTTGAACTTGCAAAACACAGTTAGGAATGAGAAACAAACTTAAGGCCGAGAAAGTAAAAATACATCATTTTTTTTAACAATAAATTGCAATTTCTAATGCAGAATCCATGTTTTTTAAATTCCAATTAATGTTGACTGCATTTAACAATTTGCATTTTAAAGTTGCAAGTGCATTTTGGACATGCCTATAGCATACAAAAATAATTTGTTTATTTAAATTAATTTTCGAGACATATGGAGTATACTACGAAAAGTCAAGTTTGTAAAATAAGGCAGACAATTATTCCCAAATTCCCAGAAATAATTAAGATTAAATTTTCTAATACACAACTTTTAATTCGCATAAGTCATCAGGCGCTTAACTGATGCTAAGTCAAAGTACTGACTTCTAATAATGTTTACCGTAGAAAGGCGTTATAATTTACAGCATATTCTCACCAGAAAAATAGAGAATGAAGTAGAATAAAACAATAGCACTGGAGGATATAAAGTTAATTGGGTAATTTTTCTACTTTGTCACTTAGTACATTTCACACACAAAATATACCAATTTGTTCGCTTTAATGCAAATACCATGAATACACCTACTTTCACTACTGCCGAAAATGGTAACAACTTGACACATTCCGGTAAGGAGGTCCCGTTGAGATTACGACTTAACCTCAATTTTGATTAACAATGTCTGACTATGAAGTTGTCAACGTGAATACAGCAGTTGGAGTTGTTGACAACAAATTGGTACGTTGAAATATTACCGTACTTTGCATTTACACATGCCAACGTGGCAATGTAGCTAATTTCCATTCTACATAGACGAATACTTCACTGAGCTTGGGACTAACAGCTTAGATATTCGCTTCAGTACACTTCTGACAATTGACAAAGTGCCATGCTTTATTATGTTGACATTTTGTGTGCACAAATTATTTACAAGTATTTAGGTACACTTCATTTTTATAAATATTTATTGACTTTTCAGTTTAATATGAATATATATTCATTTATGTACCAATATTTATTTTCATTTATTCAATTTTTATTTAAGATTTTAATTTATTAAAAAAATCAAATATTAAATAGAAAAGATTCAAGCATATCTTTACTGATAGAATCACAAAAGAAATACAAAACCACAAAAACATATATTAAAAACGTAAATAGAAACCATCGAGTTATTTTTATCAGAGACATATAAATAAAATAAAAAATTCAAATTCAATTACACCAGGACTAAATTTAATACTCCCCACATTTCATCTAGACTAATTGATCTACTTTTTATATAGTGGACGCAATCGATTCCAAACATCTTTTTCGAAAAATTGACTTTATTTTCGAAAACAGAAAAAACTTACACGAAGTCATACGAGATTGATACAATGCTTATTTGATCACAGTCGTTGAATTTTGTGTAACGAAATAGTTCTTACACAATGATAGTTTTGAGCAATATTTTATTTTCTTAGCGCAAAGTCCATGAATTGGACCTCTTCGAATCGGGTTCTTAGGTAAACGGCTCGCAAGTCTCGAATTCTTCCTTATTCACTGTTTCTTTTGAAGAAAATTCAGTGTGTATCACACGATTGTAATTGCTTTTTGAGCGACGTTCATATCACTTTTTGAATTTAGTTTCATTTTTCATTTCATTGTACCCATACTCACTGAATGTAGAACCCATACATCATCGTCAGTTTTGATGGATTTTATCGAAGTGTTGTTCCTTGTAAGTTAGAAGCTCGTAAGTTACTTTCCTTTTAAACAAACGGTTATGCGATAATGCTCTTCACTAATCAAAATATTACCTATGATATGAATCGACTTAAATAATATATCTATTTCTTGAATCAACTCTATAAGACTCATACGATAATTATCGAGTACCAGCATTTTAATGTTGTCGATGTTTTCTTTGTTTTTAACTGTTACCAGTACTCCGGCTAGAATGACGCAAATTAATGACGTCATCTTGGTGTTCTTTACATGAATTGCATTATTTGTCTATGCACTATACATAGTAGATTTTGTGTAACATTTTTTACTACTTGATGTATAATATTTCGTTCGAAATACAAGTTTTAAAGCAAACTATAGGTTTCACTGTTTATTTTTTATAATTGTAATTATCTATTATAATTTTACTCAGCAATATAATTCGAAAATCTGCTGATATAAGCATTGAAAATGACCTTCTATACGTGTACCGCGAAAATAAACAATACAAAAATTTCAAATCAAAACAGCTGATTTACACATCACACAAATTTTACTTGAAATAAAATGCACGAACAAAGTCTGTGTAGCATTTTCAAATTTTAACAGGGATGTTACGCTCTTTAACATGCTCTCATTTACTCGAAAATTTGCTGGTGAAACGCATTTGTGTGTACACAGTGTTACTCAAAGTTACTACAAGTAACTCGTGGAACAGACCTAATATATTGCTAGTGCTAAGTTAGCAACGTTGCTATGGAAGCTGGGTTGTTAATTATGAACAATTTTAAAAACTGATTATTTGTTGAACTTTTTCAGATATATTTAATATTTCAGTTGAAATATTTATTCTATTTTATTTATTCTATTTTCTGAGAATATTTTCTATACTATAGAAGTTAAAATTTTACATAAATCTTGAAATTTACTGAATTTAGAAGCTTGATTTTATCTTTAAAGTACACTAAATTGTATTACTCTAGTTTTGTGTTCTTTGTTGCCTTAATTAATTCTATATAAGAAGTATTTGGGTGCAAATTGGTACCGTTTTCGGATTTTTCTAAAAATAAACTTTTTGAAGAAATTATTATTTGCTAATTTTTTTTTCGTATGATTTGATATATACGCATCAAAGATCTAATAATTATATACCAATCGAAAGACTTTTCAAAATTCTATAAATAATATACATTTTTGTCCAGTTAATTTAATTTTCTTTGAAATAATAAATTTTTCAATTTTATTTATTAATAACAATGTAGGTTTCCAGTGGATTGCTTATCGTTATATTAAAAACTGTAACAATTGTTTAAATGAAAACCCCAAACGATAATGTAAACGCTAAATCAACTTTAGTAAAATTCGTTGACTAAAGTTCATTATGTAAACCAGGTAAACAGAATGTAATATTATTTAAGTAAGCATAGTTTTTTTTTTTAGTTGTGAACAAATGACAACTCTGTTTTTTGTAGCAATGTACCATATGGTTATTTTGTGAAATCATCAATACATGGTATTAATAAGGGTATTGTTTTTAATACATAAACAGCTTTTTTAAAATTTGGCAATAAAATTCATTTGTTGATATTACTAAAGTAATATGAATCGTTTTGTTTTTTCAAATTTTTTATCAATCAAGACATCGAGAGTATTGTAAGTATCTAGTAGTAATAACAAAAATACTATATAATTACTAACCTTCGAATAACAACTAATAACTGTTAATAACTACTTTCATCAATTGTATAAGTTCGTTAATGACGAAGATTTATTTGTTTCCAAATATTTATATTAGTGTACCTTTACGTAGTGTTGGTCTGCGTGGGCAAGATGCACCATTTAGTGGAACTATGGCTGAAGGTAATATATTAAACACACAGCAAGATAAATAATAAAATTTTATATTAAAACAAGTAAAAGCAAAATTGATAGACCATTTCGGCTTAGAAGAAGGATATAAACCAGTACCAAAATCTAGAGAACACTTATTAAAACATGTTCCAAAACTAGAGGACTTACCACCTCGTTCTATGCAGGAGTCGTTTACATATGCTATAATTCCTTTTAGCGTTGAGAAGACTTTACAGGATAAATATGTTGCACTTTTTGGTCATATCAGAATGGGAAGGCTAATGGAAGATATGGATTTATTTGGTGGCATGTTCTTAACTAAATTTTTAAAACATTTAATAAAACAATAACATATTTAATTTTAGTATGGCTCTGTTACAAACATTTAAAGATTCCAAAACTACCTGAAGGCGTACACATGCCATATACGTTTGTTACGATATTAGTTGACAAAATAACTTTTACCGATATACAAACCGTTATAACAGAGGATATACGTCTATCTGGGCACATATCTTGGGTAGGGCGCAGTTCAATGGAAGTTGTTGTGTGGTTGGAACAGAAGGAAAAGGATGTTTACAAGAAAATCACACGCGCTCTGTTTCTTTTTGCAGCGCGAAATGCAACAAACACTAGTGCAGCACCTGTAAACCCAATATTACCAGCTAGTGACGAAGAAAAATCTATTCTTTCAGGAGGTGAAAAACGTAAAAAAAGACGTCAAAAAGTAGCAGAGGAGTCCATTTTTAAGGTGCAACCAAACGATTGTGAGCAATCGATAATGTACGAACTGTATAAACGTACCACACCGTTGCAAACAATGGAACTTAATGTGCGTTCTTTACCAAAGAATTGCCGTTGGATGTCAGATTCATATATAGTAAATACTTTTCCCTGTTTTCCTGAGTATCGGAATGCTCAGTATACAGTATTTGGTGGATTTCTTATGCGGAATGGGCTTGAAATAAGTTGGGTAGCAGCAAGGCTTTACAATAAGAGCCCAGCGAAAATAAAGCATATATGTGATATCAGTTTTAGAAGTCCTGTGAGCGTTTCTTCGTTTATAAAAATGGTTGCATATGTTGTTTACACACAAGAGCAGTATATAGAAGTGATGACAGTAGCTGATATTTTAGATTCTACAACCGGTGAACAAATGACATCAAATATATTTTATTACACTTTTAAGGCACCATCAGCTGTACCAGAAGTCTTGCCAAGATCGTATCAGGAAACAATGTGGTATATACAAGGGCGCAGAAAATTTAGGTACTCATTGGGTATAGATGAAGAATGAGAAGTGTATTAATCAAAAATCTAGATTCTTATAAATTATCAATATAAAACAAACATTTTTTTCTAACACAAAATTTTGATATCATCATTTGATATCATAGCTGTAATTTTAAAGTTAAATGTAAATTTTTTTTATTTGTATTTTTATTCCATATAGTATTTTAGTAACATATATATAATATATTCGACATCCTACATTCATATTTACTATGTGAATACTGTAGTCGTAAAGTGAAATATATTGTTGCTTTTTTAACTGAACATTTGCTTTCTACGCAACAGCCAGATGGTCATTATTTTATTCTATACGCATCAGTTGGAAGACAGTCATCCGTTTTACTTCTTAGCTGTTATAACATTTTAGCTAATGTTATAAGCTAACGCGAATTTATTATACTTACAATGATTAAGCCGTACTTCTACACGTCGAAATACGTTCGTGTATTCACCTCATACGTTTTCTGCACAAATGGTCCCACACAAATGGACTGTACGACAGACAGCATCCAATATCCTTACATTTAATATGCACATACACTATTGTTGTATATTGTATTTGATAACCCATCCAATTTACGACATGGTCTCGCCAGGAGCTAATGCCACAGATTGACTTCACATATCTCGTCCAGACACGGACTGACGTCATAAGAAAAATGAATGTAGAAATAATAAATATCGGTAAATTTTAAGTTTTAGTAAATTAAGTAATAAATATCTATATCACCTAAATATTGTTTATGAATATATATTTGTTTTTATGAGTTTTTAAAACACTAATTCTCAAATTCAATTACGGACTCGCAAACTCGCAATGATTGAAATATTGAATTTATGGTAACACCTGCCAATATCCCCCCGAATCAACAACTTTCAAAACAGTTTGTATATATATATATAAATATGTATAAATATAGATATATAATATATACATTATGAATTAAACAAAACTTATATTTAAATATAAAGGTAAATATATGTATGTGTTGTTAATATGTTTAATAAAATCTTACAAAAACTTACAACTTTATTGTCATTGTATTTAAAAATTAATTCCTTAATTAAATTTTATTTTTGTTTTAAATAATTTTTAATTTCGATCAATAATCATCGCCAATATCATCATCATCACTTTTCAATTGAATAGTCTTGAATAGTATCATCGGGTAGAATGAATTCATTACTGCGGTCATCTGTAGTGATCAACATTACTTCTTTAGATGTACCACCAGTTTCGGTGTCCAATTTAGATTCTGATTTTAATGTTAATGACATCGAAGCAACGGTTGTTGTTGTCTATATTAGAGAGCATATCAAAAGATAAATAATTATTTTTATTATAAATAACACATACTATATAAGTTCATGAACATAAAAATATATAATTTTTAATTGACGCACTATAAAAATATATAATATGTAACTGACATTATATAAGACATGAAATCTGTTTCGAATAAATAATGTTAGTTAGTTCAGGTGGAGGGAGGACAAGCCTTCCTCAATTAGCTAAAAAGCCGTTTTGAATCCACAAAAACCTCGTAATAGTGGATAGTAGATAGAAGGTCAAACTAAAACCAGCCAGAATCATTAACAAAAGCAAAAATCTGGCTAAAGAAGGGGCCCTAGACACTTAAACCTAGTTCTGGCCAGACCTTGACAAAGACATATTAGGTGTTCTGGTGTCATTTCCTCAAGAGCTTGTAGACACGCACTACAAGAAGTACCACAGGGTAGGCCGAGTTTAGCTCCATGCCGTCCTATAGACCAGTGTCCTGTAAAGACAGCTATTAGTCTAGATACCTCAGATTTGTTTTTACAGATTAAGTTAGTAAGCGCGCTCATTTCCCACAGTATTAGAATGCCCAGGGACCCAGACCAGAGTTACCTTGGACCTCTCGTTTAGTTCATTGATTATTTCCTTAAATTCTTGCATTAATCTCGATGACAAACAGACTGCTGATATAGCTTTAATAGCTGCCTGACTGTCAGTTAGAATGTAGACCTCTTTTCCGTGAATGCCTATGTTTAAAGTAAGAACACTTGCCCTAAGGATGGCAAACACTTCAACCTGAAATATTGAGGTGGAATCTGAAAGATGATATGATTTACTAATCATTAGATCCGTAGAAAATATTCCGGCTCCAACCCCCCCATCCATTTTAGACCCGTCGGTGTAGATCGCTATCTTTCCTATTGTTGTAAGCAATATCAATATTTATTTTCGGTAATATCGAGTGTTTAAAAATTAAAAATCTAAATTCAACTAATTCTTTAAATATCACTGATTCATCATAAAACACGTAGAAGTAAAAAGTCAAATATTTTATAGAAACTATCAATGCAAGGGTTCACGTAATGTAGCTGTATGAAGTGTAACATAAGAACTATAACTCTTACTTATAAGTTGAAGCGAACTATCACTAAACGAACAAAATTATATGAATCTATGAAAATAAATGGCAGGTACTTTGATCTTAAGACTCTCTCGCCAAGTAAGTAAAAGTATTTGCTTTCACGGTCTAAATTAAACAGCAAACTTTTATTTAGAATTTGTAGAACTTCATCATATTTAAGGTGAACAAAGGGACAGTTTTGAAGGCAACCGTACCCTTTACTAGCTTACGGTCACGTTATTTTACACAAATACATAATGCGTCCCTCTTTAGTAAATTTATTAATAAATTTTAAAACCCATGCAAGAGGTACACTTCACGTCTAAAATAAGTTGTCACTTTATTGGCTGCAATTTGTGTTCTATGTGTAAAAATTTGTGAATCTCAACTCAATTCTATTTAAAAGATTCTTTGAGATAATTCTTAGGTTGATTGTCAAAGAATATAAAAGAATAAAAAAGGCCATTAGAAGAGAAAGGGGTGAAGAGTCTGATTTAAAAGGAATCTGTTTTGATGTAATAAAATATTTAAAATAATACTACTTCAAAGTAATCGAAAAACCTGGTCCACATTAATTATATTACTACTACATATTTTATAATTAAAATGGAAAAAATCGTACTCTTTTCGTGAATACAGAGATGTGGTTGCTTTACTGATTATTGGACGTCACTACCTAAAAGTATATACTTAATTCTTGTTCTATAACAATTTTTATTTATGTATATTACTTTTTGTTTTAGTACTATCTAGTAATGTATCTTTACTCGACTTTCGGCAATACATACACACATTTGAATCTTTTTTCTCAATGTCTGTATTTCCGAGCTCTCTTAATACTTTTTTTGCCTCTATAAAGTATATAGCTTTAATATATTTACATATATTTTATATTTTTATATACCAATCACATCCATAGATGAATTTGTCACACGTTTTCGTAAATACCGTCTTCTGGAATCACTTTCTTCAAATCTCTTTGATTTAGTTACAGTTGAACTATTCACGCTCATAATATCTCCAGAAGATTTTCATTCAGATTACCTAAAACTTCGTTGCTAAGGATGTCAGCTTTTTCCTGTCTTATATAGTTAGACATATTTCCACACTCTACTATGTATGCAATAGTCTGTATAATATTACGATTAAAATATGGTCTGCTTGTACTATTGTATTTTGTTGAAACTTCTTTATTTTCCTTAATTAATAAAACCATAAATTATTGATTTATCAATAAACTTATAATAAAAACATTTGATTAAAATTTACCAATTTCATCAATGTTTTCACTGGATTGATCTAAGTCACCAGACACGTCTTGGCCATCACTGCTATAAATATTATTTAAAGAAATACTTTCACTTAGTACACTTAATTAAGTACCACTATTGATTTCAGCTAAAATAGAAGTTTTTTTGTCAATTTAATCATATCTTTATTAAACTAAATCTTTGAAAAATTGTATCTGAGTATCTATATCTATCTATGTATCTATTGATTCCAGCTAAATAAGAATGTTTTTCGTCAATTTAATCATATCTTTATAAAACTGAAAGTTTGTGAAATTGCATCTGAGTCTTTTCAAATTGTGTTCAGATACTTTATTGGTAATTTCATTTAAAAATACATTTTATTCGATATTTTTATTTTTTTAATTATTATAAATAATATTTTGCATACATATAACTTAACAAAATCAAGCTAAGGTGCAGTTTATTATAGGTAAAATAGTAAATATTATCTCAAAAACAAAAAAAAAATTAAATTAAATAAATCTTTAAGAGATCCAATCTACATAGAACATATATTGTAGCTTATGGCAATCTCTTACGGATGGAAAACATTTTTTTAACTTTCTAAAGCATGTAAAGATGAAGATTATTTTTATTACTGCGTAACGGATTATTTTCGTTTAATATCGGGTAAAATGCATTTAATATATGGTTATATATCTATAGAAATCGATTTATCTCAAAATCTGAATGTTTCATGTAAAAACAAAATTAAAGAAAATATATATACATGTATATTTATTAATAATAAACTAATTAAATACACTATAACCGTACACTGACATATATATATATATATATATATTATATATATATATAATATATGTATACACTCATACATAAAATATATATACATGTATATTTATTTATAATAAATTAATTAAATACACTATAACCGTACACTGACATATATATACATACATACATACATACATATATAAATGTCAGTGCATGGTACTATTGTATTTATTTTATTATTAATTTATTATTATTTCATAAAATAAAATATATGCAAATACATATATGATATACGCATATTGTCCAACAGAGCCATAAGTTGTATTTCTTCACGAATAGCGGAAATATTTAGATATTGTTTATGGTTGCACGAATATTTAAACACATAATATAATGTCTTACCTGTCACTTGTATTGTTGTTTCATCATCTGAGGGACAGCCAAGTGATGTTGTACAAATTTCTTCAGACATTGTAGGAAAACTATAATCATTCTGCGCCGTCGCACTCTTATTAAGAACAGTTATAATATATATGTTACTTTAGCTTATTACGAGTATTGCGTTTTCTTGAGAACAAACACTTACATGGTAATATTACTTCTTTGTATTCTTCCAGATACTCCACCTCTTCCATTTTATAACATATACTTGTAATTTCACTGCAGTATAGAACAATGTACGTTAGTACAGAATGTGCCGAAAAGCCACCACCGAAGCGATTGGCATCCGTATTAACTTAAAATGAACTAAAGCAATCGTTCGTTGCCATAAACTAACATATTCCACTAATAATATTTAATATACAAATTAATAATATATCCCTCCGCGCATAATTTTGGAACAGCACCTTTTACGTACGACAGCAAAATAAGGAAAAAAGCACAACTACTACCAAACCGACACCAGAGATGCAGATATGCATTTGTGGTGAATTTCGCAACTAACCATTATCTCCAAAAAAAAACCTGATAAGGTCCCCAAAAGTTTAAAGTTAAAAATTATATGCAATAATATATAGCAAATGGCACAAAAGGATTTGTACATGCTAAATTTATTTGCTTATTTAAAATAATTAGAAGTTAAGATTCTTGGAGGAAAATTTGAAAACATATGTAGGAGTATCTGTAGACCAAAGATCTACAGCAAAGTATTCTTTGCTGTAGACCATCATATGTGGTAAAACAGAAGCCCAGCATTGTGCAATAAAGTTATTGTGTTTTGCTACATATTTGAATTATAATATATACAAAAGGGTAAAGAGAATTTGGATTTTATTAAATATCACCTATTTTATAGAAAAAATATATATATTTATTTAGAGGGATTTTGAATAGCAAAGAAAAAAATAAAGGACAAACACAAAAATTTATTTTTAATTTTATTGAAGTTCGGCTGACCATACAACGCTGTTTCGAGTATTGCCAAGTACTCTTCATCAGTGGTCTTTAGAATAATCGAATTTTTATTTAATTAGTTTATAGTCCGTATTTAATTTGTTTGGACTACAAGTGCCAGGCTTAGAACTCGTGCCTGTCAAATTAGAAGCAATGACTAATCGTGTTTATCCACAAGAAGCCAAGGCTGCACAAACTTTCAATGCTCAAGTTCCAGGTTTTATTGTCACTTATTTTTATTTTAATTAGTGACACCAACCAAAGCACTTGCCGTGCTTTAAATTAGAACGAGCTGATAAACTACAGCTTTATTTTGAAAACACAAGTTCAACGAATTGAAAGTTAACTTTTTGGGTTCGCCTATTCTTTATTTTTTCAAAGCTACTCTTTTTGTAGAGACATTTTGTAATGCATATTGTTTTACTTACTATATGTAAAACGACCATTCTGGTGCTTTTTACAAAGAAGCTGTGCTATGTTATTCTACAAATCCGCTTTCGCGGTTAGGAAAATATATATATTTATATATTATATTATATATATTATATTATATATATTATATTATATTAATTATATTGTATTATATATATATTATATTAATATAGTATTATGTATTCTACATATATATACATGTAAATATATTTCGTAGTAGATATCGAGAACAGAATATTTTACTCTTCACCACTGTAAGGTTTAAAGAGTACACATGTTGCACTCACTTGCCAAAAACTTGAAAAAAGTTTCAACTGTTCGCACACCAAGTGTACACACACCACATTCAGCCTATACACCAGAGGTCGGTGCATAGGCAAGTGCATGAAAATATACACAGACACTTTCTAGGCGTCTACACTGGCTAGGCTTCGTTAAGGTTTCTATATCCGAATTTAAATACGAATTATTTTCGAATACTGTTTGCAAAAGTAGCAACAAAAGTTGTTATGTGTAAGTAAAAAAGTGAGAATGAATGTAAGAACCATGAGAGAGCGGAACCAGTGTAGACACAGTGTTTGGTGCGCATGGATTTGTGTATTATGGAAATACACAGCGATAAATAAGTGAATATTAAATAAATTATATAAATTCAATAAAAATTTTATATAAAAGCAACTTTTAATTGTTATTTACTTATTGTTAGAGGCGCTCGGTATACCGGTAAAATGATAAAGTTTTATGTATATTTGCTTAAGTTAATTTACAACGTCATTAAGTTAGGAAGGTACCGAATTAGCAAGTTTGTCATATTTTCGTTATATATTAAAATAACATCTGATTGTAATTATTGAAAAATTTTGTATGATAATTAATTAAAGAGTTTAAAAATATAATCAATAAAGACAAAATAGAAAATTAAATAAAAGAACGAGTTTTATTTAAATTTTAATTGTATTTTTTCTATTTTTCTTTCGAGTTTGCTACTTTTGTGTGAGAAAAAGCAAGCGAAATCAATATCAGCTGTTTTAATAGCTTAATTTTTCAACTTTACGAAGAAATAAATAGGTGCGTTCAAATGTTTGTCGAGTCACATTTTCATACAACTAGCACTAGTACAAGCCACGGCAGTTATCAAACATAATCTCGAAAAACTCGTTATAATAGAGTTATAATAAAGTTTAGTACCAACGACTAATATGGCATTTACACTGGCCTCAAGTGTATCATTTGAAAGTGTTTACATTCGTTGTAATTCATTTGTTCTCATTTCAAACAGCTGAGTTTTCAACTTACCTGTTGTTTTGATTTTTGGCCTGTACCAAAAAAATGTTGGATGAAGCTTAAATATACCTTCAAACCTTACAATATAAACTGAAAACTTATTTTTAGCTTCGATTATTTTATTGTTGGGAAGTAGAAGTTCCAAAAAGAGGTGCATCGTTTTTAAGGAAATGCAACCATTAAACATTTGTTTATGTTATCTTTTTTTTGTGGTAAAAAATACATGCTAGCCTATATTTGCTAAGCGAGACATTGGCATCACTGTTGCAATTTGTCAAGTCTCACCAGGTCTTTAGGAGACAATTGTCGCTAGACACTTATACACGAAGTAGTCCAAAGGAACTAGTGAAATGAGTGGTCCGTGGGGATGAGATAAATCGCCATTTAGAATATATAAATTTTGCAATACTTTCTTTTGAACAAAATTTAATAATATAAATTATAACAGGACTGTATACATAAGTCATTAAAATACGCTGCAATGAATACGAATGAATGTGTCCAAAGTCCATGTAAAAACCAAATTCAGTTAAAATAATAGCGTATAAATCAAATTTTTTTTCATTAAAGACAAGGTTGCAACATCATCTATCATCTATAGGTCTAACAACATCATCAGTTAAATCCCTAAACGATTTGATATAACTACGATAACTACGAGCACGATCAGCTAAAAAGTAATTTATTTATATAAAAATATTTAATATATATATATACATATATTAATATAAATATATGTATATATAATAATATGTAAAATGCATGTTTTATTTATTATTTTCCAATTCAAGAACTAGTGAAAAGATTAGTGCCGCGGTGTATGATACGGGGACAATTGACACCATTGTACCATAGTTTTTGGTACATGTGTTTATTTTGACACTATCTTTAATAATGTCGTCGTCGAATCGACGAAGGATGATCTTTCCAGGGTTAAACAAAAGTTAAGGAACATATTTTTTGTAAATAAAATGCAGCACTTTAAACAGTGTTGGCAACGCTGTCATTAATATTCTAATAATATTTTTTGATCCAATTCGTTCTTATTCGTATTCGCTCGTTCGCAAAAGATGGTTGGTCCGTTATCAATTTACTAAGGTGCGGAAAATATTCATGGTAAGAGGATAAATATGGTAAAGTTAATTTTTTGGAGTGCTAAAATGATTAAAGGTAAAAGAATAAAAAGTTACTAATGAGTAACAGTAAAAGATAATTAGAGTTCGGTTACACGAAAATAAGTTAATTATAATGAAAAGTGAAAAAATACAGAAGTGTTTTACTACGCTATATTGTATGACGCGGCGTGAGAACTATATGATTTAACTTTAAGCTTATTATATCATTTTTATTAATAATAATTTCTGTGTAATTTCTTCTTTAATGTTATTAAAAAGTTTAAAATATATTACTCAATATTAATATTTAGTATATAATCTATAACCTATAGCCATAGGAGGCCATAGATGCAACACCGCTCGGGCAAATAATTCTCTTTTTCTCCACCAAAAACATAATTTTATTGAAAAAGTATTGGTTAGGCGATCGTAAGCGTAATAATACGCTTAAATAATACATACCTTATCTATATGTCGTAAAAACAAATATTTTTCATCGTTTTAATAATAATATTTTCACGGTTTTTATATATTTTCAACATATTTTGTGTATTTTCAGGTGCAGGTTTTTAAGTACATCTAATGAAAGAAGAGCGAATATATATCAAATCTCCACTAAACATATTTCTTGATGACGATTATCCATATTAACTATTTTCAATAGAGCATGTTCCACATATAAATTACAACACAAAGTTTTATTAAACATAATTGACGGAGCTAATATTAGAAAAAATTTTAACACCTTTAAATATTGCCACTGACGAGTCCCTCTACTAATACTAAGCTATTGGAAACCACCGTATTCAAAAGCTATCGGTAATGTAGTTCATTTTTTTAATTTAAATTGTCAATTTCGCTATTTATGAATTATTTTAATATATAAAATATTTTTTGTAATATATATATAAATATATATATATTTATATATTTTATATATATATATATATATATATATACTTTTTTTTTTTTTTTCAAAATTAAAAGTCTGCCATAGTCGTTAATTATAAAACATATTTTATACTATAAAGTTTTATATATAATTTTTAAAAATATGTATATATTTATTTATTTATAATATTTATTTATTTATTTATATATTTATTTATATTAAGTGCATTAAGTCCATGCTTTTTATTGCACTATCTTAAAAACTAACTTAAAAGCTAACAATATATTCTTTCAAGTGCAATTTATTATTTATTAATATTGTTAATGTTAAATTAATAATATGCTGCCAAGTTATTGCTTTTAAATTTGGAGTTTCGAAACAATGCGAATGAAGTGGGGTATCAGTTCGAAAAAATTGTTTAGGATTTTTATGATTTGAGTCTCAATCTGATTTATGCTCGTCCTCGTTCTTTCTTAATTTGATTTGTTTAATTATTATTAATTTAATTATTTATAATTCAAGTTAGGCGAAGCTATAACAATTCGAATTATAGTAATATTTTTTAGATATGTAACTAACCAGGAAATATTCAGTTCAGAAAATTTAATACAAGTATTTAGTACAAATATATTTACTAAATTGAAGTTATATTCTATTGCGAATTTTTACTATGCGTCTACACTGGCTAGAAATTAACAATATTTTTATATTCGAATCCAATATAAATACATAGTATTTTTAAGTTTTATCTGTTAACTATGTGAAAAAAAGTAAGACCATTGTATAATCTGATCGGCAGTATTAACTTCTATTGATGTGGCATAAAATATAAAATAGGAGCTGTTGCAAAATTAGAAGAAAAACTATCGTATATATGACAAATCTTTTGTCTTATGTGTTCAGTCCACTAGTATCAACTTTAACTATCTTGAATCCTTGTTTTGGTGACAAATATTTTAAACAATCATAATAAACAATAATAATAGCATTTTCTGAAATAAATAAATTTTGGAGAAATAAAAATCTTGTCTTTCTGCACTATTTTCATATACATATGTGGTATATAACATAATTGAGGATTATATTTTATTGTTTATAGAACTGTGCTATTGTTACGTAGAAGAATTCAGGAATTTAAGAATTCAGGAATGAACTTAAAAGTTTGAAGTTAATAGATCATAAGAAAATAAATCAAAATTAATAGACAAGTCATGATTATGCACGTGCTTTCTTTATTTTACATAAGAGACATATACTGAGAGAGAATTATAGAGTTTTCAATTAATTTTGAAAAAATATTACTAATTGTTTACATATAAAGTAGAGCCCTAAATAAGAAACATATTGTTTTTCATGAGGACATAACCAGTTATATATATACTGGATTTGCAACTTCCGGTTATATCATTCATTGACCATTTCTTTGCCACAAGTTCATGTGTCCTGTTGTTTAATATTCTATAACTTCGAAGTATGTCCAAAGCACTTATTTTTTTTAGCAGGAATTTCTGAAATCTATTCATACTTGAACAAAACCTTTTAGTCTATTAATTAAAATCATTATTACAGGCGAATGCATGCCAATTCACAGACTATTGCGTGAATTATCGCTATTCAAATGCTTACTTTAATAATCTCATTGTTTTGAGTGCAGTATAGCATGATACGTTGTCTTAAAAGAATCCGTTATTCATTACTAACATGTTTTCACTGCCTACTTAGTAAGTTTAATTTACTAAGTAAATTTCATTAACCATACAGAGAGCTTTCGTGTTTTTTAACTTAATTAAAAATAAAGCAAGGAAAATTAGACTACAAATGTACAAAAACCCTTTAAAATAAATTTCCCATAAGGGAAATTACCAAAATTTTAAATATTTCTCATATGTTTTGTATGTAAACAAAAACAGCTGAGCTGTAAACACAAGTGCTGAAGTAATTTTATGATAAAATTTATGTTTTTATTGATTGAATGTGTAATGAATATATAAAACGTATATATATTAATAATTAAAATATATCAAGTGTATATATAATTTTGCTTATGATATATTTTCAAATGAAGTTTATTTAAACAAACAGAAGCTCTTTTGGAATTTTCAAAGAATATTTGACACATGAAGCTATTTCACATCCAATAAGTAACTTATATCAATGAAAACAACGAAATCTTAAAGTTACTTAAGTAACGTACTAAGTAAGCAGTGGAAACATGGTCTAAAATCATATAATTGAAGTACAAAAAATTAGTAATGATGGATCTACAGCGCACTTTATTGTGGTTTCCATAATATAATTTTTGTTACTTTTAAAAAAATGTATAAAATAGATTTGCGTACGTTAAAATTGGGTTTTAGTTGGAAAACTAATGTTTAATACAGTTTTACAAAACCTCGTGCAACAGGAAAATCATTGGTGCACAGGATATGTGGTGTTATACATCCATCCAGAGACAAACAAGCAACAACAATCACTGTGAGCCAACTTAAATAACTCAAACTATATGCAAAAATAGGTTATTATAATATGGATGCACACTGTGTAATGTTTATTGATTAAATTTGGAAAGGAAGAACCACTAATAAAGAATATTAAATGCCTAATTGTTACTTTTATATCTGAAAAATATAATAATGATGATCATATTATATGAATTGCACTTACAATTCCTTGAATATTCTCCAGATTGGGCCAGTGGCGTAACCACATTTTTTACGCCTATAAGCAACTACTAACTAAGTGGCCCCTACTAACATCTTTTTATACTCTTTACACGAAAAAGTGTAAAAAGGGTATATAAAGTTTGTCCAGATTTTCGTAACGTATTAAGGGAAACGTCGTAAATACCATAAAGTATATATCAGTAAAGTATATATATACCTTTTTAGTTCAAACTACTCTCTCAGCTTTTGAACTCTTCGAATGAAACTTTACACACATTCTTTTTGGGAGCGGCCCCTGATCACCATATGATTTGATTGAAATTAAACTACTATTTCTTATAGCTGCCATATAAACTTAACAAACGGATATGGAGTTTCTCCGTTTTTAATAAAGATATTCCAATGTAATTTGGTATATGTTAATGGTTAATGGACTATTTTGCAATATGGAGTAGATGCAGATTTAAATATAGCACCGATAGAAATTGAGGATTGAAGCACAACTATACCACAAAAAAAAAAAAAAATACATAAATTTATAATGGGGCCCCCTAAATTTGTGGGCCCGAAAGCGTTGCTTCCAGTCGCTTCCCTGTAGTTACGCCACTGGATCGGGCTCTTGGTACTTATTAATAAATTTGAAAACAATGCATATTGGAAAATAAAAATGATGGTGGTGGAGGTAGTATTCACTGAAAGAAAAGTCATTTTCAAGGATCTTAAAATTCAATCCAACTTTTTTTTTTAAATGTGTTTTTATTTTTATTGGTTAATTATTAACTTTAAATGTTATTTAAATGTTAAAAGGCGGAAACTAATTCCAAACAGGTCTGCTAATGAATTTGTTTTGTTTCCTGCCATTTAAAACATATTCCTCAAATTGATTTTGTGTGATGTTATGATTTATTGTATTAGAGCTCAGATTATTATTCGTCTCAATACGACGTTCTTGCAATTTGTCACGTATCCTTTGTGAAAGATAATTGGGCAGTTCAACAAATACAAAATACACAATTTCCATAGCACTTATTAATGAGCAGCCAAGAAATAGACCAGCTATACCGCCGAAAGCCACTGCAATTACAAAAATGAATTTAATATCTTTAATGTGTTTTTGTATCCAAAATTCATAATAAAAGGATAACTATAGAGTTTCACATATTATTCGAACTGTTCGAAATTTCGAGCATTTTGATACTCACAATTTTCGAAAGTTTTCGAACACCATATGAGTCGCTGTCATACATGTTTGCATAAAGCAAAACCAAAATAAAGCATTAGAATTTTGTTTCTAAAACGATGTTTTAAAGTGTTCGATCTAAGTATTCGACTTCGAGTATTTTCGAGCTGCTCGAATGTCATAATGCTCGAATACTTGAAGTAACAAATTATTACCATTAAAATCAAATTACTGAAAACAAAAATATGTACACAAATGTCAGACTTTGTAGCTCTTTAGATTTAGATTAGCCCTGCGTGTCGTACTTTTTCCCAACACATAAAAATTTTTATTCACAGACACACACAAATACGTATTATGTTCGAATTATAATTCGAACATATTTTCATTCGAGTCTTGCCAAAGTCTAGCCAGTACAAACCTTAAGTTATAATATATATAATATATTTACATATATTGAGAATTAATAGAAAAATTTTGGCTGACTTTTAGAATACCATTTCTTTAAATTCTGTATTTTGTACAAAAAACCTAGTGAACATATAAATTTCAAATATTTTTATGGAAAATGAATATCTTTTAAATGACAAAAAAAATTGTGTATATAACAAACAAATATATAAATGTTTCACTAACACATCAGGCAAAATTTTAACTTATTTGGAAATTCTAAATTATTGAAATGTCGGTACGTCATGATTGGTATCAGTCAGAAACAACAGTAGTTGTTGTTATATTTCTCAAAAATGCTTTAGACAAAGAATGTCATGTGAATATTTCTCGAGAAATTATCGAAGTCTCAGCGCAAGACTATGATTTCTATGTTAAACTTCATAGTCCTATTAAAGTTGCCGAATCCGCCTATAGGATATTTCCTACTAAAATAGAGATTACTTTGGTGAAGGAAATTACTGGACATTGGCAAAGTTTGAAGCTTGACGATTCAGCACATGTATCAGCACCAGAGGCACCATTCATGATGTCTGGAAATAAATGGGAAAAAATATGCGAGGAAACCGAAGATATTGAAAAGAAAGAGATTAAAGGTGAAGAGGCTATTCATAACTTCTTTAAATCTGTTTATAATTCTGCTACACCGGAAGCACGCAAAGCCATGAACAAATCATTTATAGAATCTGCTGGTACTGTGTTATCGACAAATTGGGCGGTTGTATCAAAAGGTCAGGTTGAAATTCAACCCCCAACTGGCATGGAATATAAAGAGTTTTAAATTAAACCCAATAAGTTTAAAACATCGTACCGATTTTTTAATGTGCTTACACCATTTCGATTATCAAAAATTTTTAATAAATTACCAGTATATTTTCAACACACGTTCGTTTTTCATTTGTTATAGTTTTATTTATAATTAAAATAGAGGATCCTTTGTTATAGTTCCTTTGCTATAGTCCTATATATTTTAACTAAAATTTTCATTTATAAATATTATTCCCCATTTTCATTTTCCACATTATCTTATCCAAGTATCTGACTGTAAGATACTTATCGGACATCTTATTGATGCCGAGCAATGAGATAAAATGGTGGAACTAGTGAAGGTGCTGAAGTAAGACTTTCAGAGATTGATTCTAACTTTTATCATTCATACGTTATACTACCTCATCTGAGGAGCTCAGTTACAATTTAATTCGAGTGTGTAGCGAGAAAACTTAAGGATGGCGTAGGGCTTAAAGCAACTATTTGTGAACTCGTTACAAATACATGGTTTAATTCTAATTAATTTAACTAAACATATAAGCACCTAGCTATAGATAGTTGCTTTTCTACTTGAGAGATGATAGATAGATAATTATTTAGAAATGGATTGCGATACAGATTTCGATTAGCCAGCTTTTAATTAAAAAAAGTGTTTTTATATATATTTGGATAATGGCGTTGCTATTATAAAATATTTTAAATATCCCAAACTAATTAAACATCAAAAGTTTCTTTTTAATAGTGTTCGAAAAAGATATCCCTTTTTCATTTTATGTTACTCATATTATCATTTAATTCTTGTTTATTAAAATATTGTCAAAGAAAAACAACTATTTTGTTAAGTTTGAATTTTAGAAAGCTAATCATTTACATTTAATCGAGCTAAACTAAAAGCTTGCCTTTTTTTTATCACTCCTGTTTGTTAGAGTTTTGCGTGATCGATGTAGTACTGTATTTGTTGGTATATATTATTTGAATTAATTAAGTACATATCCCAAATCTCTCTCCCATAATTGTACTTACCTAATAAATCGACCCAACCAAAAATTAAACGTGTTCGATAGACCATCATTGATTCGTAACGAAAGAATACATCCAAGTCAACATATGACATATTGCCACGGACTTCCGGTGGTATAAATGATGGACGAACATCCGCAAAATAGTTAAGTGAAAAACAATTGCGATAACATTTGCACAGCATTGCGTCGTAGAACAGTCGAACAAATTTTTCTTCACCTGGTTGACGAGTATATCGCAAATATTCTGAAATAAGCATTCTTTATCAATAAATGAGAATATATACATATTATGCCTTTCTATATATATTTTGTATATATCAAAATTTAAATTTATTCAAACTTATTTTAGTCATGTTTTAAGTACATGCTAACGACTACAGAAAATAACGACAATATATAGGAAGTATGTTTTGACATCAACTTAAAGGTTATAAGATTGAATGGCTCTTGTAAAGAAAGAAATAAAGAATTTCTTTTATTTTATTCTCAGAAGTAAAAAAGTCAGAGTCCCAGAGTCACTCATAAAGAGAATAAATGCCTCTGACACATAAAATTAATTGACTGCGACTGAAACCAGCGTGCAATATATATTACCATAGTTAGTATGTACCAGGTGTACGCAAAAGTTTTTCCAGTTATATTTGATAAACAAAATACGTGGTTTTCTAGTGAAACCAAGTTTTCGTATTCAAAATATTGACCATCGGTTTTTATATTTTTAATCCATCTTTTAAGTAGTTTATGAACAACATATGTTACGAGATAAACTACTTTTCTTTTACGGCAAACCATTTATTGAGCTATTTTCCAACTTCCACAAAATTATTATAGTGCTGTCCTGGTAAAATTTTAAAATACCCAGGTCTGGTAGTGTGTCGAACTTACAAAATACCGCTCTGATCCTACCAGACGCAAAGCATGGTGTTCCCACTGAATCGATTCGGCTTTGGTGTTGAAGGACCAGCTTCGCCAAGTGAAAGTCATGATTTTTTCGACTTCAAATTTCATCATTCTTCACAATTTGACACACAATTAATTTTCTTTTGCGGCTTTGAAAGAGATTTCGTACAATTAAACTAATTTCACAGTTTCAAAAAGAAATACTTTTGAAATGTTATTTTTATGTTAATCAGTAATCAGTTACTATACATCATTGAATAATATTAGTTTTTTATAACTGAACTAACTACTTTCCACAAATATATTCTTAATACAAAACGTACACTTAAGTCTGTTCCAAGTCTAGGTCAAAAACTTGTATTTTTTTATGAGTAACTATCTTAAGATCATATCTCAAAACCGTTTCAATACCGCCTTTTAACTACATTTGAAAGTAGCAAAAAGTAAAAGTAAGCCACTCTTAAGAATTATATCAATAGATAAGTTAAGAGTCTTGGGATAAATGCTGATAACAGTGATGATAGGTTTCTTAAAAAAGTATAAAGATCTCTGCGCAGAACCTTGTTAAGTTAGATGCCCCTGAACTGGTCAAAGATTACGCAAAATACCTTGGTGTAATTTTGGACAGCAATCTTCTGTCGAAGCACAACAGATTGAAGAAATCTCAATGAGTCCATAGTCCATATCTATAGTTTCAGAAGTGAAATGCCTTAACAATAAAGTTTGAAGAACTATCTATTCCATAACAATCCGTTACTGAGTTTCTGCCTAGGATGTCTCCCCAGGCGCCTCTGCTGCGTGTTCGCCTTCTCCAGTCTCGTACATCAAGTTCAGTTAGTTCTCTCTCAACTTGATCACTCCACCATAGACACGGTCTACCTTTACGTCTTCTTCCGCCAACTGCTGCTTCAAACACCTTTTTTGCTGGAGCATCATCATTCATTCTCACGACATGACCAAGCCAGCAAGGCCGCTGGATATTAATTCGCTGAATTATATCAATGTCGTGATAAAGCTTGCACAGCTAGTAGTTCATTCGTATGCGGTAATTGTCGCCAACTCGTGAAGGACCAAAGATCTTACGAAGAACTTTTCTCTTGAGCGCTCCCAGCGCTGCTTTATTATTCTGTGATTATGTTCATGCTCTTGCGCCATACAGAAGCACAGGGAGGGAGAATAAGCGACCTATAGAGCGTAAGTTTAAGCACTACTACGATTGACTTTAACATGCAAAATGATGCATACGCAGAGGCGTACCTTCATCTGGTTTCACCAGAGTCCAGATCAACATAACCTAACAAAAATTACATATAGATGTTCATAGATGTTATGTATGGTATATTCGTCAGTAAGATGAACTTTCACTGCTAAAAACCCAATTTTATGGTTGCCGTTGGACATCTATATATAATTTGTCTGTTATTACAGTAAATAAATTCAAGAAAATATTTAAATAGCACTAAATATAAAAAAGTTATTAACAATAATAAGCTTGAATTTAATGCCAATTATTCCATTTTTTTTTGCATTTTATTTAAATTGTGCTGAAATAATGAGTATATTTACCATTATTTAGTGCTAAGCATGGCAGATCTGTTGATTTACAAGAAGTGTAAGGACCTTTTAAATGAAAAAAAATAAAAAATAAAGATATGTTATGTGTGTATATAAAAACACTTGCCTGGAGGGAAAAGTAAGTCTAATGTGCAATTACAATATCGCACCAAATACTCCTGATGACACTGCGATTCACAATTCTCAATCATATAAACATAGCCCTGCAATGTCTTATAGTCAAGACTATTGCGTTCATCCTGAAAGTAAAATAAGTACATTAATTCATGTATTTTAAATAAAATAATAAAACTATACATCTTTGTTATTAATTGATTTTTGAATTAATTAATGCAATATTTTCTGAAATGCAAAAATAACCTGCTAGAGATATTTTAAAAATTTCATTTTCAAATAAAATATAACTGGTTAATTAATTACCAAGTATAGCAGATCTCCCAGACTGCAATTTTTACTCCTCTACTAAGAAAAATAAAACTTAATTTTCATATTTCATCTACTTATACCTTTACCTATAAGAACATTTCGAAATAAAAATTTATTCATTATTTACAAGTCATTTGAAGTTGACGTCTCAGTATAATTTTAACAATGGAAAAAAAAGATTATCGTTCAGTGCTTAAATCCCTTGATTTAAAGCAAAAAACCCATATACAAATCGTGAATCTGTTCTTCCCTAAAACAATTGTCTGGTTTCTTTTTAAAAGTCTTGAAGACTTTTCCTATTTAAAGTCTCTCCGCGTGATACAGTCATCAATAATTTATTATTTGCGTTTACAAAATATGTGTGCCATAAAGTGGGTGGATGCTGTAGTTCCTAACAATGCAATAAGAACACTTTCGAATGTAACCAGCATTTTGAAAAGAATTGAAAAAATGTTTGTGCATTGTTGCATCACTATGGATGAGACTTGAGTCTATTAAGTTGATCCTGAATCAATATAAGTGGCGTAAACCTTATAAAAGTCATCTTTGAAACTTGTATTTGAAAATCGGCCACCAAATCGTCAGCTTTGCATAAAAAATATTAAATAAAATATTAGATATTTGCACTTTTTTTAACGTGTATTTGAACCAAAAAATCTTATGATGGTGTGATATTTAAGGGGAAGTGCACAGTGCCATTAGGGAACCCTTCCTACGCTTATGGACGTACCCAGAGCCGAAATTAGGGAGGCCGCTAGTACGTTCAAATGACATTATCAATGGAAAAACTATTATTTAAAAAATATATGTATGTGAAATATATGTATGTGAATTAGTAAAAGATTAAAAAGGCGAATTTCACACATTTCTTATAAGTAATATTTCATTTTTATTTAAAACAATAATAAAATATTGAATTCAAGGGGAAGGCGCCCTGGCCCTACCAGTGTTCGCCCATACCTACGCCTGTTATTGGTAACCTAAGGTACAAGTGCCTATTAATGAAGTTTGATTTTGATTTTTTTTTAAATGAAAAATAAGTTTTAGTACTGTTTAAGTACACCTAAAAATTTTTTGTATAATACAAAGCTTACCGCAAAAACACATTGACGTTGATCGGATGATATAATTCGTGTGTCATTATCGTAAAAATAAATAATTGGTTCGATCTCGACTGTAGTTTGTGTATTTTCGGGAATTATATAAGGATCCTTGTGCCAAACAAATGGTTCAGTAACCATTACCTATAATAAAATGTATTATATTCTATTAGTTTCTTTTGTTGTTTTGTACTAAAATAAGTATTCGAGTACTCACGCTTACTCCACGCTCGCTAATGCGATTTGGAAAATTATTTTCCGGCTGCAAAAGTACTCTTAAGCTTAGACCAGTTGAGGGTCCAGCTGCACCAGTATGCCATGGCCAGTATGGGTCTAAGCGTTGCATACGCCGACCCTCATCTGTTTCCAATGTATTAAATGACCAACACAAGCCACTTCTGGTGCGACGCTTTGAAAATATTTCACAGCAATTCATTTTAAAATGACGCCATTTACAAAATGCCAACATTTCATCACAACGCCAAGTCATGAACTCAAATACCAAACTAAAATTAATATTTTTAAGTAGTTCGAGCGGCTCTTCTGCTAGCACATCGAATTTATCAAAATTTGCGAAACGTATGTCGTCATATGTGCCAATAATTTTCTCAAATAATTTTAATTTTTCCTGTGATTTTTCATTTGGTAAAAATCGTTGCTTCGCCTCCTCCAAACGTTGCCAATTAAGCCGATTTAAATTGCATATTGTAATCACTGGAAATACCACACGGTAGACAGGATAACGTGTATTATCCACAACGGTCTCAAATTTTCCCTCGTTGAATCGCTTTGATAATATGAGGCATACGTAAACCGCTGCCACAAGTGCCACTACAACAGCGCATAGCCAAATTGTTCTGAAAGGTATGGAAATTAAAATTGGCTTTTACTTAAATATCCGAAATATCCGAAATGTCCTAAATATCCTTGTTGTGGTCTTTTTATAAAATGGCTTTGATACAATTTCATTCTTCATAACTAGGCTTGTACTAAACTATATACATGTGCGGTGCAACCCAATAGCATGAAGTTATGTCGATAATGTTATTTACATATTCCATTGTGTCAAATTAAAATCTATTCAAATAATTTAGATTACCTTTCCAGTTTACCAGATTTTTCACTGAGTAACCTGTTGACGCCATGTATGGTGGTGCGTTTACCAAATTTATACGCGAGTTCCCAAGTAGACGTACCAAATTTTTTTGCCAAAATTTTAGCCGATGACCACTTTTTAGGCACTAATCCGATATACTTTTGATTGAGCACATTTAAAGCCTTTGGATTCACCGGTCTGTAAACCATTTTGGACAAAAAGTGTTTTAGTTGTGCTACCTAAAGTAAAGATATGAAAAATTTCTTCATATCAAATAATTGATTTCTATTGTTATACGAATTCCCTTATCTCACCATATTTTCTGATAAATTCAACTTCAGTTTCCGTCTTTATTTGCTCCTGTGTATTATAGGTAATAATGGAAGCCTAAATAAACAGTAATTCCACGAGTAAACTACTAATTTAAACGCTTATAATATAATAATAACTTAATTATATGTACTAATATGTGTTCGAGTTAATGTGCTTATAAATGCAATATAAAGGCGTTGATAGATACACAAAAGAGATACACGTTACTGCTAACTAAAGTAAGTAAAAACATAATTGATGAAGCGTTGGAGAATTTTTTCTTCAAGTTTTATTGAAACTTGAAACTTAAATTTACTTCAACTCTGTCAATACTTTTGGGTATCAAAATACTGGTTAAATTGTACTAAGGCAAATGCAATTTTATAGATACTGAATGTTAGACCTAATCTGATTAGCTAACTATTCAAATCAAAGATGCCAGCTGTATATAAAGCGGTGATAATATAACTTTCAAGTTAACCGACTAATTGAACACAAATAAATAGTTTGCTTTCCTAATACCAGAGAGGTCATGGTTGGTAATAGCGCTCACTAACAATGGTGTTGATGAATATCTAACGCGCTTATAGGTTATGTGTGAAATTCGTATACAATCTACAGCGTTATACGAATTCCAAATTGTTGGTATAATTTTTGTTCAATGGCCATGAATATCGCTTGGCTGAACATAGACTCCGCTGCTCGTCGAACCTTCTGTAATGGTTTTATCCAATCATATACTAACTCATTTAATCCTTTTTCAATATATAGATTTCCATGAGTTACAACAAAAACTCAAATAATTAGGCCAGCACTACTGTATGGATGTATAACATAATAAAAAGCTTCAAATACTGCCATAAAGCAATTACAACTAGCACAAAATCTGGCTTTAAGAAGACTTATTAGGATTCCTCGATATATTAGAACAACAGACATGCATAGAGATCTAAGGATCGACTCAGTAAAAAAATATATCAAGGACAGAGCCCTAAAATTATTCACAAAAGTCGATACGTTTTCCAACCCCGCCCTAATAAACCTTAAGTCCACCTAAGGACGCACAGGAAGATATGCTGAACTACGGTTCGTCATCACTTTAAAGATAAATAAACGATAATAATTCTAGCCATAAAAGAGTAAAAGTACGCATAGCACTAAGTCAAACCACAAGAACGACAACAACAACAAGAACAATAATTCAGTGTTGTTGTTTTGTTGAATTTGTGGTATACATAAGATCTACATATACTGAAGTGTATTGGCACTTTGTAACATTATGTTAAGCAATGTACTAATTGTGCTAATAATAAATTGCTTAACATAATATAACATACAGTTTGGATCAATACCGACAACAGACGATCCAGACCGGTGCTACGAGCAGATATTTTTACATTTTATGTTAGAAGAATAGATGCGTCAACCACCATTGACATCGAGATTTGCGACAACTGTTTAAATGTTTTATTTTGTTGAATCCCACCTTTAATATTTGTAACTCCTTGCGTGTGCTATTCGGCCCCATTGCTTATAAGAATGGATTATTCTTTTTGTAAAAGTCGTTCCATATTTCCAGCCGCCACTGAAATTTTAAGACTAATATATCCTTAATTAATAAAATTGTATTTTTTTGGTAGCCATTTCTTTATCTCTAATAGGTTCATATATTCTCTTCTTGTGGCATTTTATTATATATTGCTAACCTTCAATTTTATAATTTTATTAAATAATAATTGATTAATAAATAATTTTTCAAAAAAAAAAAAATAAGTAAACTATTTATTAATGATATTAAATTTATAAATAAAAATTTTTACTTTTTATTCCATAATTAAAGCATTTCAAATATTCACTTAATTAATGATATTTATATTTTACAGTTGAAACCACAGACATATCGAATTCATCATGGATGATGAACCCTCTTGCAGTTCTCAGCAAAGAAAAGAGTAGGTTTGATTTCTAAAATTTTAATATTTGAACTAACCTAACCTAATTCTCTTTGTAATGTTGATATTAGACTCTACATATTTTATTATTTTTACTGTTTTTAATCTCCTGATTATTTTCACTCAAAAATAGCAACATCGCTCCACCTCCAGAAAAAAGTATTATTGAAAGCAACTCAAAATCTTTATACGAAATGGGATTTCGCAATTCAATTCCAAATTGGAAGGAAGCACAAAAATGTCATAAAAAAAATGCGCATGTAGATCTCTCAAATTTGTTCAAATATGATTCGCCCGGAGATATTGAAATTAAAATTGGAAAATCGGTTTTTAAGTGCCAAAAATTAATTCTTAAAACATATTCAAATTATTTCAAGAAACATCCAAATTTGAGTAGTCTTGATTTATCAGATAAAGACATTAGTCCAGGAGCGTTTGGCATCCTCTACAAGTGGATGATAGATCCTCGTATTAACATAGAATGTGAGGAGCTTATGGAAGTTATAAAGGCAGCCACATATTTTGATGTGCCAGCGTTGATAAACTTATGCTGGAATATATTCTCGAATGAGAAGTATTTTTGCGAGGATTTAGCCTTTATGGTTTACTTTCAGGCACGCCTCTTTGACTTCCCTGAGCTAAAAAATTCTATGTTACGACGCGTACGTAAGTTTTATACACATCTTATTTCAACGCTGGAATTTGTACTCTTAACTGCTGAAGAGTTGAATAATATAATTTCCAATGATTTTATTGAAGTTAATATGGAGAGTGAAGTGTTTTTCTCAATTGTACATTGGGTAAATTACGATTGGGAAACGCGTCATGTTTCTTTAGTAATGTTGATGCGTTCTATTCGATTTACTACAATGCCTGTCACATTCATGTTATACCTATTGAATGATGATCATTGTGATGAATTAAAACAGGTAGTTGAGCATGATGAAGTAAAGAAAATAATCAGAAAGAGTTTAGAGTTCTGTATAGTAAAAGAATCGTGTCATATAAGTGAATTGCCTGCCTTATTGGCGAAATTAGGCTTGGGATACAAACCGCGAAACTGGATTTTTGATCCACAATGTAGTTACCATCACAGAAGCGATTGCCAAAAGAAGGAAGTGGTAACATATGGTGAATTCTTGACCCACATTGAAATAGTACAGAAACAACCGCCTAACTATTGGCAAACATTTATACCTGCAGACGATGCGAAAGCCCAATGCTGCATTGAAATACAGAGAAGTAACAGTGACAACAAAATTTCACAAAAATCTCAACAACGTCGTAAGAACGAGCGTCCATCATCAATTCCAGACAAAACTCAACAACACGGTACTAGAAACTGTCTATCAATAAATTCGGAAAAAATTCAACAACGTGATACCAGCGAATGTCTACCATCAACTACAGACGAAACTCAACAACGCGATACCAGCAAATGCCTACCATCAATATCAGAAAAAACTCAGCAACGTCATAACAGCGAGCGCCTACCATCAATTTCAGAAAAAACTCAATACCGCGGTACCAGCGAATGCCTACCATCAACTTCAGAAAAAACTCAACAACGCGGTACCAGCAAGTGCCTATCGTCAATTTCAAAAAAAACTCAACAATATCATACCAGCGAATGTCTATCATCAATTTTAGAAAAAGTTAAAATAAGTGAAAGTAGCGAGTGTCTATCATCAATTTCACAAAATAGTTCAAATCGTCTTACTAGTAGCTCTCTTGTAACTGATGATAGCTACTTGGAAAGTTGTGACTCGTCCTTCAAATCTTCTGATGGACGTTCTCTACAATAACTTAATTCAGAAATACCAGTGGAAAGAGAGAGAACATTGCTTATATATTACAAACACGATTACGTCTATAATTTTGTTATACTGTTATGTTTTGATTATTGTATAGAGAACGAAAGGAAGGGTGGGTGGGTCTACACCTAATATAACAACCAAAACTTCATCTATAAATTGAACAAAGTTAAAAATAAATATTGTTAATGATAGCAGGATGTTAACGCTAAAAACACGTAAGTGATCAAAAATACTTAAAATAGTTCGATGTTTATTTATTAAAAATTTATAACATATTCCTTGATATATCAAAGTAGGTAGTTATTTTGGCCCAAAGTGAAAACATTTATATGAATATTATATGAATATTATTTATATGAATACCTCTACAGCTTCTAATATTAGATTAAGCGAGCTGGCCACAGACCACATATAGACCACATAATAGACACATTAGTCCCTGGCGATACTACCGTCTATTCAAGGAGTACTTGAAACTCCAATCCTAAAACTCCTCCTCTCAAATTATGAAACCACTAAATATTTTTAGTATGGCGTGATAATGCAGAGGATTAATATAAATACTGTCTATTCTGTTTCTACCTTCTTGCATGTCCCCCATATGTAACTCATATCTTAACTACTACCTTGTGTGTTTGTATTGCTAGTAGACTATGGTCCGTCAGCAAACCTGTGATAGCTTTCAATCGTTCCGTGACAATGCTAGAAGTTTGATGTGCACATCATTTTTATACTTTAGCAGCTGGTTAAGCAACTTTATTTCACCGTCTTTTCATATCATTATCAATTTTATTATGCAGATTTTCATTTTCAATGCTTTTATGTCATAGTATGCTATAGCTACCCTATCATTCTAAAAAAATTATTTTCCTGGTTTTAAGAATGCGGATGTGTTACATATAGCAAAGCCTCAAATACTACCTTAAAGCAATTACAGATAGCTCAAAACTTGGCTTTAAGAAGACTGTTTAAGATTCCATGGTATATTAGATCAACAGACATACATAGAGATCTTAGGATTGACTCAGTGAAAAAATATATCAGAGACAGAGCTCTAAAATTATGCACTGAAGTTGATACGCTACTTAACCCCGCCCTAATAATCCTCAAGTCCACTTCTAGATTCTCAGGAAGATATGCTGATTTAAGGTCCGTCATCAACTAAAAAACAAATAAATGATATGATTTCTTAGCCTAGTTAAAGCCTAGTGTGGGGTATTGATAAGCCCCCCAGCCATTATAGAGTAAAAGTGCGTAGTAGCATTAACTCAAGTACAAGAAGAAGAATAATACGTTTAGATGATATATATGTCATAATTATCTGTATCACTGCTAGGCTGTAAATATTTATCTGGGAGTTGTGCTCAGTTTCTGTGCAGTCTAGCACCTGCTACTTTACCTACACCAAAAAGTTCCGCTGAAAAAGCACTGCAATGATAAAGTAAGCTTGAGTGTTCGTCGAATATGTAACTCTGGACAGTAAATTTCAAATGCCACTCCGTTGGTTGTTTTTCAGCTGTCTCTTAGTAATACTATTATAGATTTTTTTTGAAATATTTAAATTTTTATGTTACTGTTCAATACGTTTTTGAAAGTAATTTAACAAGTGTTGGTAAAATATATTTTTATTTTAATTTTCAACACTAAAGGATATTATTTTTTATTATAAATTACTTCTCATTTTTTAATCGAATTGTCACAAAAATAAATATTCGTTTTTTTATTAAACTTTTGCATTACATTATATTTGTCATTATTTATATTAATTATATTATTTTCAATATAATTTTTATATAAATTTTTTTTATTAAATTATATTATGATTTCCATTATATTTATATTTAATTATGTACGTACTTCATTAACGTTATATCAAACATTTATTTTTTATAATTTCATATAAACCATTTATGGTGTGAACATTAATATTATATGTACATAATAATACATATAAATAATTTAACAATATATAATTAAAGTCTTATTATTTAACGAGTTATTAGTTTATTATTTTATTTTTATTTTATTTAAGAGTATACATATATGTGGTTTCCCGTTACTTATTTTTCAACTACTATGAAATCGACTTTAAAATCAAAAGTTCAGCGAAGTTTAAGGTTGACTAATTAATTTAAATATCTAACCGAGAACTAACTATCTTAATAACACTGTGAAATGCCTTTTCTATTTTGCTAATCTTCGATAAAATCTAAGTCACTCAGTCATATGTCAAATCAGGGTATGCAAGCCCTTAAGGTTAATTTTACAATTTTAAAGCAATCAAGACGCTACTGTCCGCATTTTGATATTTGAAGGAATTAAAAATAATTTAAAATACATTATAATCAAATGGCTAAATATTTAAAAATTCTTTCTCTTTAATGCATTACTACAATACATACATATATATGCATAAGTATTAAAATTAATTTTATATGAGATCAATTTCATGGATATTATTTGAATTTTTTCCAATAGGTTGCCGTGAGAAATGCATTTTCAATTATTGAAACAACTTTAATAACAAACATACAAGCTAACGATTCTCTTGTTTTGGGATCTCATCTCAATAATGTTTTTCCGAAGTGTCTCAAAATACCCTTAAGAGTGGTTGTTAACATTTCCTTGAATCTCTAAACTTGATGGTATTGATAAAGTGCTTACGGTTCATTCTGTATATTTGTTCAATTATAATATTTGTTCAATTATATATAAAAGGAATTATCCTTTTCTATTGAATTCGTTCTTATAATAATGATTAAAAACTATATATATGATTATAGAATTTAATATACAAGAAATATATTATTGTTAATTAGGATTTTAGGTAAAATTTTATAATTTTTTGGAGGTGCTGTCGAATTTTTATGAATCAATAATAAATAATAAAATTATATATGATTACTTGTAATTTAAATAAAGGTGTTAAGAGATGGTGATGTGTGGTGTCATAAAATTAGATTCGATAGAATGTCGATAACTTATAGCCCCAACTTGTAGTATCCACGTGATTGGGAAAGATTTAGAAAATGGTTGTTTGAGATTTATTATAGTACAAAAAATAATTTCTATGTTATAACTATGTGTTAATAGGATAATTATTTTTAAATTAATGAATATATAGTGGACTAGACTTATGACTTTTGAAAATCTGTTGATATTGTAGCCACTCGTACAAAAAAAAAGCTGACGTACGAAGGGCTGTATGTTTCATATTTATTTTTATATTTATTTACATTTATTTATTTATATTTATATATTTACATTTATTTATATATATCTATTTATTTATTTTTATTTATTTATATTTATTTATTTACATTTACTTATATATATTTATTTATTTATTTTTATTTATTTATATATATTTATATATTTATTTATATATATTTATTTATTTATTTATATTTATTTATTTATTTACATTTATTTATACATATTTATTTATTTATATTTATTTATTTACATTTGTTTACTTACATTTATACATTTTTGATTTATATATTTTATAATTTAATTATATAGTTCTAACTGTGGATAATCAGATAGATTATAGTTCTGCAGGGCTAAGTATATACCTTTTTGATATATATTTATTTATTTTAAAATTGTTATATATATTTATTCATTATTCATACAGCTTCTTTAGAACTTTAATTTTTTCTTACATTGAACCAAAGAATCTATAGTACAAAGAAGTGCCACGCTCATACAAACGAAATACCCACTTTATTTTGCTGGTGGATTTATAATAAATCCACCCAACCTCATGCAACAATGTTCGATCGAGTCACAACTGGTATGATGTCCATTTTAAACCTATATGTGAGTCGAATAAGGCTGACAAAAGCCCGACTGCATTCGTATTCAATCATACATGCAACCCTCTGTATTATATTATACGCATGTTTGTATGTTTGTTCGCTGTAAAATGTTCAAACGATCAAACAGCATTTCAGTGACGAAGTCAAAATTGTGTACGTTTGATAAGTTTTTGAATTTGATAGCATATGAAACAAAATTACCTGTTTGATATTGTTATGAATTGTAGTGTAAAAACACATTACAAATTTATTTATGTCTCAAATCTGATTTTTTCCTTTTTCTGACTTTTCCAATTTTAACATTTCAATCCGGTGTAAATAGCATTCATGCGCTTCCTCAAACCAGGAAGCATTATTAGTGGATTTAGTGACTTCTATACATTTTTTCAATATAATTTTTCTTATTTTTCTAATAATTTTATTTTCTTTAAAATACTTTTCAAACACTTTTATATAAATCTTAAAAATATTTTTTAAAATAATCACAAAAAGTCACCAAAAATTCAAACTATTAAGAAATAGCTCCTTTTGAGGTAAAATATATGCACAAATGTGCAATAAAAACATACACATTAATATACTGCAGACTTAATGTCTCCAATATCACATTTGTACATACATAATGGTTTTTGTAGTGCATCATTTGTTGCAATAAAAAAAATAATATATTCTATTACTCTTTACTCCTATGATATGGGCCTTTCCAGTACAAGAAGATAAAGCAACAAAGTATATCGACAAATTATTTGAGGGATTTCTTTACCATTCACTTCGTTACTAATCCATGTATATTAATTAAATAGACAAATAAAAACAAGAAAGGCAAAAGAAACAGGCGTATAAAAACAATTGTGGGTTGTAATGAGTTTGAACTGAACATCATACCAGTTGTGACTCGATCGAACATTGTTGCATGAGGTTGGGTGGATTTATTATAAATCCACCAGCAAAATAAAGTGGGTATTTCGTTTGTATGAGCGTGGCACTTCTTTGTACTATAGATTCTTTGATTGAACTATTCTTAATACTATTACATTTTGAATATAGGACACGAATATTCGTTTCAGTCGTTTCGTATAGTCGTTTCAGTTGCACTCACTAACATGTTAGTTAGTATTGTCTTGTTCTAACAGATATGTATCGTACTTTTGCAATAGCTTTATAAACCTATTACAATCTTAATGTAACTTTGTTAACTATATTTTTATATCTAATTACATATTCACTTTATCAAATTTATTTTCACTACTCACAAGCTCATGAACCTAGTTCCAATGCACAGATTTTACGTTAATAAGAAATTGTATTATATTGTATTGTATGTGTGTATAATATACATGCTTTTTTTTCTAGATATAAAAAAATAAAAATGTAATTATATCTAAACAAATATCAATTAAATATTGCTGATATATCAACACAATTAATATTAACTTTATCTATTTCAGTTATATTCAGAAAACTAGTAGAATTTGAAGGAATCTAAATTATAACGAACTCTGTTAAGCGAACATACTCATCTGTTATCGTATAATCTTTTAATATGGCGTCCCTTAATATCAATATCAATTGCTAGTGTTCAGAATTAATCCAGGCTTAATTACTGCATTGCAGTATTTAGCTTATCCTTTACTATTATTTCTGTTAATCATTTTGTTAAACTTGAATGAAATTCTCTAATGCGCTTTGGAAATCGACGTCAAGAGTAATAAATACCTGCTCCCACATTAGCCTGTGATGTCACAACGCTTCTAGGTAAGTGAATTCTTTCGATATATGTGTCAAAGTAGTTAAGATGAAGAACTTTAAGATTTTATTTTTGTTTGCAATATTCACAGCCATTAGATGATCAAATTTTCAGTTGTACAGTATTTAATGGATTTAAATGATAGATTGCGAATAAATCGCGCAAATGTGAGATGAAGTTTTGGATAATTCTCCACTTGAATTATATAGAATTAAAGACTTAAATGCAGTTTTAATTATATATTCAATGTGGGTGATATTATGTTACAATTTCAAAAAGGTAACAGTTTTAACCATTTATAAAGCACATATGCGGATAACTAATTTCTATATATAAATCTAGGTGTTTCTGAACAACTTAACAGCCTACTGTTTACAGCATAACAGTTCACTGTTAAGGCATATAATAATGGTTTGATTAATCTATTACTGAAGCACCCGATTAGTGGCAATATTATGTCTTAAATTATTTGCTATACATTAATGATTTTCTGAGACTTTCTCGTTGAGTTAAATTAATGAATTGATTTATTTAATTAATTATGTTAATTGTGTTTAATATCACGTCAAATTTGGTTGAAATTGTTTAGTGTATATTGGAAATTAACATCACAATTAGTAAATACTTACTGCAATACCAGCTTTTGTTGTCATACCAATTCTAGATAAGTGAGTACTCAATTTATAAATGTTAAAGTCGTAAATTTTGAAATATTCTTATCATTCTTAACAGTAATTAGATGATCAAATTACCAATCACAATTGTCAACAAATCGCTAAAATTGGGAATAGAGTTTTGGACAATTTTAAATTTTAAGTGGTTTAAAATTAAAAATGCAGTCTCAAGTAAATATTTGACATGGACAAAATACAGTAAAATTAAAAACAAATGAACAGAAATGGAAACACTTTGTGATCGATCAGTGTGGGTAACGATCAACTGCATATTTTTGATCAACAATACAACTTTTGAAATGGTTTAGCATACATTGACTACCCACGTCAAGCGCTGTAAATATCTAGAATCATATAAGCCTTGGCTATCATTTTTTAGTGCTATTACCGGTCAATATGCAAAAATATAATACTAGTGTTTCTACCAAAGTTTGAATTTTACTGACCATTCAAACACCAAATAGTACTGTCTACCATGTATTGGAAGTTATCATCAAGAAGAGTAAATACCTGCACCATAAGTTAAGTTTTTGGCTATAATTTTTTTCAGCTGTTGAACTCTCAAATTATAAGTTATAATATATTTTATAAATTTAAAAAAAGGAACACATATATTTTATAAAAATTTTTGACATTGAATTTTGGACAATTTTTGTCTTGTGTTATATATTTAACTAAAATACAGTTTATGCAAAATATTTGACATGGGCTTTACAGTCAAATAGTCAGCAATTTTAAAAAATATACAATTTTTTGGTAATTTAATACATATATAAATATATTGTCTTAATATTTCTAATCAATATTTTTTAGCATTTCATTTTCGTACAATAATCTGGACATACCTGTCCAGTGACAACCAGTCACATTTAACAACGTTTATAACCTCAAATTCATACTTACTGTGCCTTGGATATATGCACTATAATCTGAACATACCTGACCAGTGACAACCAGTCACCTTTAACAACTTTTACTACCTCGAAGTTAGACTTACTGCGCTTTGGTTATATGCACATTTGGGGAATATAATATAGACTGGTTATGTTATGACATATCGAAAAGCATACTACGAGTTTCATGGATATACGAAGAATTGTAGAGTATGATATTGTTTCGATAATCTAAATCTTGACTTTTAAATTTTTTTATTTTGCTTTGAATAGGATACGAGGAAAATGTTTTTTTTTTTTTTTGAAAATATAACTACTTCACTTTATGTCATCAATTAAGTATACTGCAAATGAATAGAAAAGATATATTTCCTATCGAGAAAATTAAGAAAGAAATATAATTGAGTACAAAGATCTGATAATTCTATACAAAACATATGTCAATACTACATCTTTAATCTTAACATACCTTTTTTGTATAGAAACCACAAATATTCAAGTAATAGATATCTAAGGCATATATATCTCCTATATATTCTTAACAACGAAAGTGAAAATTGGAACGGAAGCGAAACTCACAATTGTTCATGATGAAATAAATGTACCGACTCTTGGTCGTCATAAAGCGAAAACAATTCTAATATGGATGAATCATTCATTAACTAAGAATACAGTGAGGAGCAAAGTTGTAAGAAATTATTAAAATACATATCTTATTTAAACCATACCATTAATTTGAGCATTTTCATATTATTTATTAGATGAGAAAGACATCAATGTACAGCTTGCAGAAGATAAACGCTCTATTATTATTCTTATTTCAAAAATATTTTTGAGGACCTACTAAAGCAAAGTAATTCTACTTATATAGCTGAATAATATACAAAGCGGTTATAGCTGGACTATAATAATAAATTATATATTTGTGGCTTTGGAAACTGTCACTAATCATCATACTACTCAGGCCATTGAAATAGAAGTAATACCTATCGCCTGTCCGTTTAGTAAGAACAAGGTTTCAAAAGAAATCAGATACGCCCAACTAAGTAACTTTTCAAGATATAAGCAGTTAAATGTATTAAATCCTTCTATGGAAGTAAATTTATTTGAAAGCATTCTTAGAACCAATTGCTATCTATTACAAATATGAAACTATTTTCGTATGGGAAACATATATAAAAACATCGGATTACTACTCAAAAAGGAAATTATATCATCCGTAACTGCATTAAACGCTTAAAGAAATGTTGTCATACTTGGGTGAAGTAATTCTGTTTGCTTTATGCTCCATGGCGTTCGATAATGCCATATTAATGAGTTACTATAACAGTCTTTCGACAGAGCCACTTAGATTGTTAATTAACAGTATATGTATGTATATGACAATGTATTAAAGATTATGGTATGGAATTGAAAAAAAATTTAAAATTACATTATTACAACATTACAAATATAGTGTTTTACTGCATTTTTTATAGTGTTCTGTACGAAGCATATATATAAATTTTACCTTTTTACAAGAATTAAATGTATAAAATATTAAACTAGCTTGGAACTCAATTTGTATAGAATATTGTTTAGCCTTAAGATCTCTCTTCAAACAGTATTATAATGTGTGTGGTAATACATTGTGCTTGTGGGACTAAGTGGATTGCTACAGTAACCTATCATAATCTGAAGGAATATAAAAATAAACCTGTAATAGGTGTCACGTCTAAGATGTCATTTCTTATGACATTTCTTATAGATATAGCATAATAGTAGTTGATCTATTAAGTTCAACTACTATTAGTTAAGTTGATTACTTTTTATATATACATATAATATATGAAGGCTTGTTTTTTATTATTAACAGCTTTTGATTCTTTTTAGTTCATAATTATATTAATCACCTTCGTACTACCTTTGTGCCAGCATAAAGAATATAGAAAAAAGTTAATAATTGTCTATAAGTTCACATTCATTGTAGAAGGTAGTCGGTATTTATGTATAGCTCCGAAAACAATTAACCCATTGATTTTTTTTTTGGACAATTTTAATAATATCCACATCTTAATGGGTTGTAAGTTCACTTTTACGTCTTTTTAATATTATAAAGTAAAAAATTCTTATTGTAATTATTTTTATTATTATTATGGTAATTATTTTTATTATTATTATTATGGTAATTATTTTTATTATTATTATTATGGTAATTATTATTATCATAAGTCATATCACACGGTTAACGTGGCAAGGTCTATTGTGCCTCCTTTATGGACTTTTAATGTCCTAAGCTCTCAGTCTTACTTCTTTAATGAACTATAATATTTATCTTATTTTATGGAGTTTCGTCTGACAAAACATAAAGCCGGAATAGTGTTATTTGTGTTTTTATATTAATGCAGGGAATGTTTTGAGCAAGTCTCCACTTGTTTATCAGTATTATAAACTAAAAAGTACTCTAATATAATTTGACATTTAAGTGTTATTTTTATTTGCAGTTATATAAAAATACATTTAAATATATGATCTATCTAGAACTCGTGACGTGTTCTAGATGTCCTCGTAGAAAATAGGTGATTATATATAGATCAGTATTTCACAGATAATGGACTTCACATGAGGATTCGAGTAATTAACGTTCCTGAGAGAAACGACAATTATGTATTATTATTATGTTTCTGATAGAGTATGAACGATAAATAGGTTAGAAGATAGATATACTATAAATATTAAACAGATATTATACCTTACATAGGAGTTCGATTAAAGTGACGGTAATCAGTATAAATTGACTTATTAATCAATATTTGATTCTTGTTATTTATTCTACTTCTTGTTATTTATTATTCTATTCTATTATTTCTATTATTATTTCTATTATTAATAATACAATATTAATCATTAAATATTTTATAGTTTTACATGAATTATATTGCGTGTAGCGAAATTAAAGAAATGATATGATCAATATTTTTTATTTCTTATTTTACATTAATTTTTTTTGTTATGGTTTAATTTAACTTTAAATAAAATTCTGATTTTTAGCTTTGGATGATTATAGTATGTTTGATAAGGTAAATATAAATATATTAATATGAAACTCAGTATTTTAATACATTCACCGCTTTGATGGATTGACATAAATGACTTTACATTTTAACAAATTAACAATATGTGACAAGCTAGTAAATTACTATTAATGTCAAGAACAAATACTTAACATTGTCAACAAATTTAATTATAATTGACATTTTATTTAAACTCTAGTAAAGGACATAGGAGTGCTTTATCCATTTACAACAAAATCATAACAGAATATTCGAACTTTGAGGTTTTGGTGGTATAAATGTTGCTCGACGACGGCATAAAAATGTATATTGGAAAGCAAGAACTTTTCTTATCCGATGACAGTGTTTGGGAGTATAAATTAATGCAAAATTTTATAAAACCTAGAAATTCGTTAATTCAAAATCAAAATGTGAGGAAAAACAAAAATTGGAAGCAAATTGTTTCTGACTCAACTGAACAGTTCGGACAGGAAACAACAATCCATGGACTTAATCGTTTAATCACAAAAGCGACTGGAAGATTCGAACGGTAAGAATTTCATAAAATAAAATATATTATATATTTAACATGCAAATCTGTTAATTATATATATATATATCAGTGTTTCAAACTGGAAATATTTTTTCAAACCGTTTAGAATGATGTTATATTTTTATTGAAATGTACTTCACGTATATTGAACTTTAGCACTGTTCATACTATTAATGATGCGATTTTTAATCAACAAAAATTTTTTTTGAATAAATTGCTTAATTTGCAATTAAATGTATATTATTTCATTATATCATGTCTTTTCTTTAATTTCTTAAAATAAAAAAACCAAAATTATTAATAATTTAAAATTAAATATTTTAAATATTAAAATTTAATATTTAGTGCCCAAGTCCTTCTGTTATTAACAGCTACTATAAGCCTTGGCATTGAAGATACCAATTTTGGTGTGGTTTTTGACCTATTATTTGATACTCTTCAGTTTTTTTTTGTTATAATGGGCTTCTTTGAACGTCTATCCAATTCTTATCAAAAAAGTTTAATGTGATTGAGATCTGGAGATTGGGACGGATGCGATAATGTACGCTTTGCGTGAGCCATATACAGACATCATAAATGGAATGTTTCAGGTAATTGTCATATTGGAATGACAATGAAGTAACTATTAGAGTGACTGGTAAACTCCAGACATTTCGGAACTTTCTTTGACATTTCGTTTGAGCATGGCTATATAATATTTTTTGTCTATAATGCTGTCAATGAATTCGAATTCGCCGACAACTGCAGCGGATATGCACCTCCATATAGGCACCATATTTCACAGATATAGCAAGATTATTTTTTTTTGTTTTGCAGTTCGCTGTTTAGTTTTCTCCAAACCGTTTGGCGGAGGTTAGGTCGAAATATATCAAATTTTTTTTTCAGTTGCGAAGATGACATTCTTCTAAAAGTTGATTAGCTTGATTAAGTAATCCTTTGCATAGGATAAATGATTCTGTTGGTTGACCTGCAAAATGAACGATTATTGGTTTCAAGCAGTATCATTCTGACAGTTATGTGGTGAATATTTTTGCCAAACTTTCCCTTAACTTCAGATGCGTTCTGAGTAAAAGAGATTTTTGGGTTGACTGTCTCTCACCTTTGTTTTTATTTTGCTGCGTTTATGACCACTCAAATCTTTAGGGGTCGGCCTGTGTGCTTTGCATTTTGCAATGATGTCGCCCTCTTGAAACACTATATAATGCACCGATTGATATAGAGGTTTCTATACATAATTTTCCTAATATCGGCATAAGATTGGCCTTTATTGTGTACATATAGAATTATTTTCAACTGAGATGCGGCGGTTTATTTATGTTAATTGCTTATTTTGTTCCAAATGGATTGAGTTTATTAATATTTAATGCATTATGACGTTTTTAACAGGTTTTTTCTAGGAAAAAGTTGTCAGATGAATGAAAATATATCAAAATAGTTCATAAGAACCTAAGTGTGCCAATAATTTTGTTCAGCTCAATTTAGTACTTTATTGGTTTTTAATTTTAAAAATTATATCTTAAAATGTAAAGGAATAAAATACATTTAATTGCAAATTAAGTATTTTATCTAAAAAATTTTTTTTGATTAAAAATCGCATCATTAACAGAATAAAAACGGTGCTAAAGTTCAATATGCTCGCTGTGCCAATACTTATGTTCGGCACTGTATGTGTATAATATACATTTATATATATATTGTATATTTTTAAAAATGTACTTTAATGTTTAATGTTTGCATTTGTTTTATTTTTCAGTACCGTTTGGTTTGTTGCTATTTTTCTGGCATTGGGAATTTTAATTTATGTAAGCCTCATTATTGCTGCACGTTACCAACAGAAACAGTTCCAAACTGTCATTGATACGACGAGTTGTCCAGTGTATAAAATACCTTTTCCGGAGTTAACAATCTGCAATCAGAATCGCTTAAATTGGTCACGTTTAGATGAGGCAAAGAAACGTTTTCTTAGTAAGCAACATCAGGCAAAGGATTACGTATCTCAATTATTTGCGGATGTGCTTGCACGTTACGATATGCTCACTTTCGGTAAATTCGATAGATTCGACAATTTAACCACTCAACAACTGAAAACTTTAAATTACATTAATTTCACGTCTGTGGTGGTTTTCATGTCTTGGCGCTGCGACGAGATTTTAGCCAATTGCACATGGCAACGCAAATCCTTCAATTGTTGTGAAATATTCTTTCCACGTAAATCACAGTACGGATATTGTTTGGCTTTCAATTCAATCCTTTCACCACAGGGCTTGCGTAAGCAAACTTTGGACTCGTTTTGGCCTTGGCGCAATGGCGCTGATAGTCCTGGCAGCGGCTTGACTGTTAAGGCTTTAATTAAAGAATATAATCACTGTCCAGCAAATATAAACGATAAAGGAATCATTGTAAGTTGACATTTTTTGATTCAGAAAAAAAAAATTTAATTAAATTTAATTTTAACATTTTAGTCAATGCTCGTGGAACCGTCCGTTTATTTTGATTATCCCATTTCTGTTTCGGCTAATACCAGAACAACAATTTCCATTAATGCTATTATGCATTTTTATGACGATGTTACAAGAAACGTTCCCTCCGATATTAGGGAATGTATATTTGAGGTGAGCACAAGATTATGGATTATTTTCAATACGATTTTGTCACGCATACCAAAACAAAGAAATTTATTTATTAATACTTGTTTAAGTAAAGGAGTTTTTTTCCACACATACGCAATTAATATATTTAGATATAGATTGAAGGACCTAGTAGTCCAGTTTCTTATTCTTAGTTAACTTTCAAATTTATTTAAGTATTGACTCATAAATAAATAAATATTAATATATATTACGCAGCAGAAACTAATAGACTATGAATATAAATGAATGAATTGTGATGGAAATTGTAACCTCTATCAAGATAAAGAGGCCTTACTATAGTGAAGGGATAAAGCCACAACTCTACACTCCTCACATTAGTGTGTGTGCATTAGAACCTGTAAATAGCGTAGTTTGGGCATATTTTGAGATTTGACGTATTTTACCTTGTGACTATATCCTGAATACAAAACGACAATTGCGGTTTTAATCAGTTATCATAATCAGTATGTTTGATATAAATAGTAATTAATTTCTTATGAACAATTTGTAAAGAATATATAAAGCAATGACTGCGTTAGGTGAAACGTCATTAATAACATATACTGTTAATCAATTGAAGATAAATCGGTCTCCAGCTATTTGAAAATATTGTCTTTATTTCTCATTTGAATATAACTACAATCAAACTTCCACAACTCGAAGTACAAGACTTATGTTAAAGACTTATGTTCTTTGTAATTGTATCTAATTTACTCTCTAAACCCTGTTGCATTTTATTTAGTTCGAGTTATAAAAAATTGGAGTTATACAAGTCCCAGTTATGGAAGTTTAACTTTATTTCGTTTTAGTGGAATAAATATTAGTTTGACACAACTAATGAAATTAAAATTCTCTCAAAGAAGCTCTTATTCTTATCCAACTTCTGTTCATTTAAAGAGCGTGTTCGGTCAAAAAAGATCAAATTGTTGTTCCAGATAAATTTAAAAGAAAATTGGTTTTAGAAGAACTGTCCATTTAAGAGAAATATTACGTTTATTAATAAATTCTTAATAGCTATCGAGCTTAGTTGTATGTGTTATATGAAGTCAAACATAACTTCTTTTCTATTTTAATAGAAAAATATTATTTAATAGTCATAATAATACTTATTATATATACTTTCAGAACGAACAGGATAGTCCATACTTCACAACACTTGCGGGTCAAAAATACATGTATGAGAATTGTCAAACTGTTTGTCAACAGGAATATCTAATGACTTTATGCAACTGTACTGTTGATTTATTTTATCTTTCAGGACAATATCCTAGTTGCAAACTAAGTGATCTACCATGTCTGGTACGATATAATGGTGAGTTCAATCAATTTTCAGGTTAAGCCTAGTACTAATAGCTGATTTTATATTTTTTTAGTTTTATATTTTTTATGCGAAATGATTGTTAGTACTAGACTTTAAATTATAAACTTTTTTAAGAGTATTTGTTTAATTTGGTATAAGGCAGAAAACTGAATATATCTTAATGAAATACTGACAGATTGTGGTTGCTAATAAAGGATTTATAATAAGTAAGATCACTGAAGAAACAGTAATATCCTATGATTCATGTGATTTTTATTAATGTTTTGGACATGAAACGGATAAAAGCAACATTTGTTTCGTTAATGGGAAGTTTCGGATAAGCAAACTTCGTGACAATATATAATAGCTTTGCAGCATACTATATACACTATCTCACACTATTCTTCAGATATGGCATCCTGTGACTTATTTCTTTCAAACTCAAAAAGTCACTCACAGAGTAATGTTTTTTTAAGAACAAATAATATAAAAGCGCAATTGCGGAGTGAGCTGAAGACAACTATTCTCTAGGATGAATTATTTTAAGATTGATAAAGAAAAATACAAAATTATTTAATAACTTTGACAAAATTACTAATTTATATTTTTTATTATACCATGAATTGTATTTTAAAAAAACAGATGACAAGTTGCTTTGTTCCCTATAATATTAAATACACATTGTAAATAATTTTTAATCTTATTAACACCATATTTTAAAAGCTCTAGAAATAGGGATCAGTAAATATTTCAACAGGAAAAGATACGTATATTGCTTCAAAAGAAATTTTATACAGCGAAATGATCCTTCGAGTCTCGACTTCTGACTTGAAATCACCATTTCCGATTAAATACTTTAATATCAAAAATTATTTAGTAAATATTTATAGATATTAAAAAGTTATTTTAATATGTTACCAAGTGGACTTTCTGAGCTGACCATACAGATATTTTCATATCGTATAAGCATCTGTAGTGATATTAGAAAATATTTGATAATTTATTAGTCCATATGTAGTTTTTGAACTAACTTTTATTATTAGAACAATTTTTTTGTTTAGATGTAAAAAGCTAATTGATCTCTATCTTCTCTATTTTAGATCGATTGCAGTTTTTTGAACAATTGGGAGAGAATGAATTTATCGATACGAATATAACTGGAATACAATGTAAATGCTATCTGAACTGTTACTCCTTGACATATATAACTGATGTGCGTTCGGTGGTACTGAAAGAGAGCAAAAGGTCGGTCAATAATTCCTTTATTGAATTAGATTTCTTTTATGCGCGTAACACATTAATGGTTTTTAAAACGACTCTTAAGTACACCTGGGTTGATATTTTAGGTGAGATGTCATTTTATATATTTTTTTTAATTAATAAAGTTTTAATAAATATTTGTATTTCCAGTATCTTTTGGAGGAATCATAGCATTATGCTTGGGGTGCTCATTGATAAGTTTCGTTGAGTTGCTATATTTTCTTTTCATGGATGTTCCAAGTTGTCTGTGGCATGAAGGGAAAGAAGCGGAAAAACTTAAAATTAAAGAGCTGAAAATAAAAGAAAATCTTAATCGAATTTTGCACGTTCATAAAAGATAATATGTAATTATCACAAATAATATTTGAAATCTATAGTAACATATACTATCTTGAGTACTCTTTAGATTTGCACAGTTTTTATGTCACTGAGTTATAGAAATCGAAGTACCGCATATATTTTTTATACTTATATATACAGCTTTATTTTGAATATATTTTTCTAATAACATTTGTAATTCGAAAAACCTTTTTTTTTATTATAATGTTTTATTTATGATGTGAATATATTCCCCATTATGTGCACCAAAAATAGATTTGACTGTTCCGTCTTGAGGTCTAACATTTGGACTTAATATTTGCGTTATTCATTTCTTAGCAAATTAATAAATATTTACATATATAAGAATAAAATTAATAAAAATATGACTACTGTACTCATAATTGAACATCAATAATTCTGCTTTTGTTAACAAAATTACTTTATATCTACTGTTTGCCGCGGTTACGATTACCTATACCCACTCAATAAAACTAGATACAAGCATTTATATTAGTTAACATACTAGTTATAAGGTACTTCACTTAACTTTTTATGATCCGTAAGAGTTCCAGCACTGTAGAGTGCTGGTGGCTCCGCTCTTGCGACCAAATATTAATAATTTTGATGCCTTAAATAAAACTTTTTCATGTAATAACTGTTATTATTGTTATAATACATTGACTTTCTGAGTCATACATATTTAATCCAGTTTAGTATTTGGTCTATTTTTCGAGGTTTTAAGTCAATGTTAGATGAGATATATTCACCAAAGAATTTTTTTTTATTTATTTAGCGCTCTCTTAATGCATGCTAAGCAATCTCGTTTCCTTTGCAAAATCAGCTAATTCTATTCGAAAAAAATCCGAAATTCGACTGCTATGCAGTTATAGGCTACTGTGAAAGTGTAGACTGCTACACTGTTCTAGGATACCATAAAACGCCAGGCTGATACAAAATATTATTCTACTATATAAAATGCTAGCCTGACAGGAAATCTTAAACTGTGACGAAATGCTTGATTGCATACCATATGCAAGTTGTTGATTTAAAAGATTTACAGATAATTTAGAAAACTACCAGATATCTATATCGCCACCCAAACGAAAATTTCAGAAAAATTATAGAATTTACTGATGTGTTGTAAATTATTTTTCCAGATAGTAAAAATACATATTTTTAGTGTCCATTAAATAAATTTGTTCGTAACGTTTTATAGGGAATTATAAAAGTTATAATAATTATTTATTATATACTATAAATAATAACAACTTATATAGTTTTCAAACTCTATTTAAATGTTACTGAAAAGTTTATTTCAATAATTTATCAATTCAAAGAAGTCACATAAATTTTTTAACTTGCATGCATATATTCTAATACATACTTTTTACAATTCAATATACAATAAAATATATGTGTTTTATTTTCCAACGTACTTGATATATTAAATGGACTTAAATGGTAACATAAAATATATAGATAGCCCTTTTAAAAAAGTGGTATCAGTCACCGTGATTTATCGTTGCCGTTCTGAATTTAGTCTTTTGCCACACTTGATTAAAATGCATGATTAAGATTAGTTTTTATAGTAGTTTTCACACAGTTTTCTTCACTTAGTGAATTGAAATTTTAGTCATGCTTTAATCGTTTTGAAAAGGTGATGAAACCAAAACATAAGTAATTCTTTTTCTTTGCTGCTCATTCACATCCAAGCAGAGTTCATACATATAAACTTTCAGCCTGCAGAATTCATCAAGTATAGCATCGAAAATTAATGTACCAAAATTAAATTTCAAAAATTACTCAAGTGTGGCACGGATCTTTTAGGTGCATTCTTACTAGTTTATGTTATAGACGAGTACGTTACTATATTATTGAAAATATTTTTTTCAGTACACAAACATTGTCAGTATATTTCACTCTTCAGCATTAGAATTTTTTCTTGTTTTTTAAATTTAAATTTGATCTATTATTTAGTTATTATATATGTAATTCCCCTCTAAACGTTCGTTCAAGCTGTCAGTTAAGATGATTGTAAGTTGTGTACCACATATGGTGGATACAGTGCGGTAATTATTTCCACCACTGAACTGCATATTTGCTGCACTATAACCCAGCATGCGAAATAATCTTTGGAAGCAAGCATCGATGTCATATCATACTAAGTAAATGTATTTTTGTGCATTATATGTCATAATAAAGCCATCAATGCTTTATTGATGCCTAGAATTACTTAAAAGCATCATTGCAGTGTTGCTCTTTTGATATAAACGCAGGTGTGGGGAATCAATATAATTCAATATAATTGTGTGTTGAAATTAATGTAATTTTGTAGGTGAATTTTTATAACTGCCAAAAAGCATTTAAAAGTATCAACAAAGAATCAAACTCAAATAAAAGTCATTTATATTTGTGAAGAACACATTTATATTTGTGTGCATTATTCATATAAATGATATGTAATCCGTATGTAAATCATATGTATTTAAAATTAGTGTAAAGAAAAACAGGCAAAGTCTATAATAAAACTAAAAGAAGAAGAAGAAGTAAGTAATAAGTTATAAAAAATAAAAGTAATAAAAACAAATTTTATAAAATTGTTTTAAGATGAATAATAAATAATAATAATATGAAAGATATATATATATATATATTTTTAAATTCATTTTCCTTTATTGCGATATGTCATTTAAGAATAGACAATTAACAATATTTAAGAGTAAATGGCTGAATACTTAAAAGTACTGTGGGCTTGCAAGGACTGTGCTCAGTAGCACATCCGTCTGTTGAAGTCGGTCACAGATTAAAGTTCCAGTGGTATTTGTTTGGGGAGACGTGTGAACTTTCTTCCTTCTGCTATAATTCTAATAATAAAGTAATTATTATGATATTGCATATGTTATTTATGATTTCTGGCGAAAGATAAATATGAATTTATTATATTTATCTTTTTAATATAATTTAATTAAATATACAAATTAAAACAATGATAAATTCAACAAATTGCTTACTGTTTTCTTTTGAAAACACCACGAACGAATTTCAACACAGCTGCTTCAACTGTAAATATTTGCTTCGCGTTTGTTGGCGTTGCCAACAAAATATTCTTCTCCGCAGAAATAAATATTAAAGTATTTTATTTGTAACACTTATTTGATTACATTAAATAAAATAAATCCATATTTGTAGTTTTATTATATATAAAGAAAAAACATGCGATATATCTAGAATGAGAATACCACTACTTCAAAATTTTTGCAAAATATTGAGGTGAAATACAGCATAAAGCAACAAATTGCGCACTTTGATTACTTAAAGCTGTTTATTTGCGCGGCAGTGGTGTTCTCACCACACTTTACACACAGCTGTTCCATAAAAATCTGTGTAATTTGGCACTTTATTTGTGTTACGCTCTCAGTTTGTACTTGTGTTTTACTTGAGTTTTACTACGAGTAGCTCGTGGAACAGACTTTGTATAACATCACACGAGTTTTGTGCTATTTTGTTTTCGTGTGATTGGCTTCTCCATACTTAATATGGGTTCAGTAAAATCTTATCAAAAATTTTGTTGAGTTTAATTAATGTACAATGATGAGATTTGCTTTGAAATAATTTGTTAAATTAAATATTTAAAATAAAATGATTGAAGTAATAAAATAACATCGAAAAAGGAGTGTTTTAATTAAAAAACAACGAATGATTATTTTTACCTTGCTTTGTTATTAGTATATGTGCATATGTATGTATTATTGCAGTCGATGACGTAGTTGTAACTGCTGTTGTGTGGTGAATTTGGTACAATAAATTTCAATAAACAAAGACAGTGACGTAGCAACAAAATATATTATAAAAGTGATTTCAACTTTTTTCTTTGCATGTAAAACTAGGAAGTTTTGTTGTTATTCTAGGAAGTGTCACTCTTCCTAGTTAAATCGAATACATTGTTTCAAATTGAAATTGTTGTACGTTGTCTACAAATAAAGTTTTAGCATTTACTGAAGAGGTGACGAAGATTACAGTAGCAATAATAGTGCAGCACAGTAAACGCACCAGCACCTGTAAAATTGTGGCGAAAACGTTTAAAAGAATGAAGACTCAGACAACAGCGACTGCGCCGATAACAGAAACTGCGCCCATAACAGCGACTGCGCCGATAACAGGAACTGCGCCGATAACAGGGACTTCGGCGATAATAACAGCGACTGCGCCGATAACAGGAACTGCACCTGTAAAATTGTGGCGAAAACGTTTAAAAGAATGAAGACTCAGACAACAGCGACTGCGCCGATAACAGAAACTGCGCCCATAACAGCGACTGCGCCGATAACAGGAACTGCGCCGACAACTGGGATTGTGCTGACAACAGCGACTGCGCCGATAACAGGAAGAACGCCGACAACAGGGCAGGCGAACAAGCTTTGTTACCTTAAAGGTAAATATATTTTTGGACTGTAAGTACACACATATGTTATGTATATAGCATCCATGTTGCTAAAATCTTCATAGACTCCCGTTGTTTGGAATTTTATTATAAAAAAATATATTTTGTTATAAATATTAATTTTATTATGGGATTTTTGCAAAGGAAGTGTGCAATTTGTAGATTTATGATGTTTAGGTCTATAAATTGAAAAAGTAGAAAAATTAAAAAAAAAAATTAACTACCAAATAAAACTATCGATAAGCATCTTTGTATTGTTGCTAAATAAAAGACATTTCAAATAAAAGAACGACATTCAAAATATCTGAGGCTAATTCAAATAAATTCAATCTCAAATTCAAGTCACGTCTTTCATACTAATCCTAAAGTGCATATTTGAAGCCTAACTACAAATATATTTGATATATGTACATATATACCATATATATTTTACAAACAATAAGAATAAAAAAACAAAATACAGTTTTTCTATATCTCTGTTGCAGTATTCCAACATATAACTTAGTGTATCTTATAGATCCTTATGGGTTCCGATGATTTCTCTGTTAAATGATGTTTTTTACAAATAATATATTGTAGTTTTTAATTTTTGAATGGAAATGAGATTTCAATGAGATTTCGTAGATTAGTTTACCACTTTCAAGTGAGAAAATTGAATACAAATTCGTAATTATTCTAAGATTTGCTAATCAAATTAATACTAAGACAAAATAACATCTTAAATTCTATTTTGGTAAATTAACTTCTTTCTTCTTACATAAAACTGTAAAATTTCGGAAAAAAGAAACGCGATAATAGGGCTGAATTTTGTCACATCTGTTTGTCCAGCTTTGAGTAATACACGAAATTTAATTTAAAATTTCTCTAACTGCACATCGGCATTGTCAATACATATATGATGTATATTAAGTCCGTGCGTTTTTTATCTTACTGATGTTTGAGTATTTTTCAAGGAACAGGAACCTCTATGTTCAATGGAGATAGAGAATTTTTTGAGTGCTTTTAATAATGTAAGAATCAAGAATTTTAACTCTAAGTTTGCAGAAGTTAGTATGGATCATTGATAATTAGGTCGAACGGAGAAGGTACTAGTGGCAGATATTCTAACTAGTTAGTAGTCTGTATACCTTATGACGTAAAGTCACAAAAGCAAGTACTTCTCAGTAAAACCACTTCTCAGTGATTTTCTCAGAAAATTTATTAAGAGAAAGTCATTTTCAATTTAGTTTATTAAATGAATTTCTTAGTATTCTGTGACATACGATTAACATTTGATTGTGCTTTGTAGATTGAGATTATATCATAAGTAATTTTACACAGTTGGGTACAGTTAGGTCACGGTGAAGATTGCTGTTTCTGAAGTACCATGGCGCGTTTACTATTGATCGTAGCATTTTATTCTGGAACCGCTATATAACTTCTATATTTGTTTTGTTTGCACAACCCCATAGCTGTGCGTTAGTTGAGATATTGTTGATTAGGAAGAATTCGAGTAGGTCTGGAGATTAGTTGCAATGAGTTGGACAATATGTTTGTTTCGCTGTTGTTATGATATCCAAATTTTTTTCCCTTACTGCATTTGATAGCGCTCGGTCTTTGATGGTAATGAGCCTCGATTCTCAGGCGGTATGTTTCGCATTAAAGTCTCCACCAATCATGCATTTGTGTTGAGAATGTTCTAGAAGTTGCTTGTAGTCTTCAATTGTGATTGTGTGTCTCAGTGGATTGTGACGTCTGCCAACTATGAGAAATTGCTGCTTCGCTTTGATGCCTATATTGATGATCTGAAATTTATCAGTGCATATGTACACTTCCTCATGAAGCTCAATGTTTTTTCTTTACTAATAGTACCTCCACCCCTAGCATTATTGCTGGGATAAGTAGGGTGATAAGTGATGTCAATAATGTCAATAAATTAAGAGAGAACTGTTTGTAGCAAGAAATAAAAGTTTCCTTATTTTTTTTTTCTTTGTAGGTGAAAAGCATTAAAAGACACAGTGTGAGACTTAAATCAATTCTTTCGAATTTAGGAATTAATGCATTAAAATTTGACAGCAATGTGTTGTAGCGCCAGCATGGGGATTATATGACCAGGGTTACTAAAGCCGCGGTTGAAGAGATGGTGGGATCGGAGTTCCACTCATTAAGATAAAGGGAGAGATATTGAAGGGTTTATAGCGTAAGGCTTGGACAATATCCGCGGGGAGGGTGCTGGGAATGGAGATGTTAGGAGAGGGGTTGTGTAGCCGGGGTACCTTCGAGGAATGAGAGGCGATACTCGTCGATGCTAGGACGGTGCTTGCCATCAAGCGTCCGCTTGTAATTCATGTAATTGCGAAGGAGATCACAATCAAGATGTTAATAGTGAAAAAAACAATTGCTTATTTAAATTAATTACACAATATAAAAATATGGTTTTAACATAAAATAAAGCAAATAATTTCAAAAAAATGCATAAACAAAACTGTAAATGTATTGTTTGAAATTAGCATAAAAAATTAAAGACTTTAATACAAATTTTCATTTATTTTCAGATTCCGATACACATTCTATCACAAACACTCTAACTTTGTTATAAGGTAGTTCATGTCAAAGTTTCTCATCAAATAGCCAACTACCAACTTCTTGGCTTATGTTACTAAGAAAAGAGCTTATTTGTAGATAAAACCGCGACTCAACTGCTTAACCTAGCAGTTGCTTGCTGGTGGTGCCTTTAAGTACTTATAAGGTTCTTATAATTTCATCAACAAACCTGGCAGATATCACAAATATATGTAAGTCTTTTAAAAAAAATAAAATTTATTTACCGCAGAGGTTGAATTGAAATAAAATATCTGTTTCTAGAACCCTATGTCTTTTATCCTGGCAACGAACGGTGTTTAGCCAATACTTACACAGAATAAGAAACTCAATCGCTACTAAAACTAAACAATCTATCGAACCAGTACTTGGTTTTAAATTTGCTAGTAGCTGCACCTTATCATGCTGTCAAACAAAGCTTCCAAGAAGAGCTTCTTGAAGAATAGTGCCTAAATTGCTAGTTGGCAAAAGTTAGAGTCTCGAGCCTTTGGTAAGTTGGAAACAATGCAGATCTTACTGACAAAAATGTCTACAGAACCGTGCACAGAACTTTGGTGCTTAAGTAAATAACTCCTCCATCAAGTTATTGATTAGTCTTGGAATCAAAATTGTACCATAATATAGCTGCTATGATTCTTTCACATCATGCACTTGGAAATTAGAGCTGTTAGGTTTTTAGTGAAGTGAGATTTCATTTCTATGCGGTGTTAAAAATTAATCCATTGGTAGTAGCGTGATTCTCATGCATTCCATTTTTAAGATGCACCTACATTGTACTCAATACTTTAGCCTTTTCGATAAGAGATAAAAAGACGTGATTTGCACTATTGATAGGTACTTATGGTGGCTAGCATGGTCGTACAAGCATGCCTTGTAATTTTAAATACAATTCGAATGAACTATTAGGATATTGGGCATTTTATTATTATAGAAGTTTTTTTTGGATGTACTATTTTTATAGTCCTGTATCCCAGGTTATTTGCAGTGTAAGAAAGGAACTACAAAACTACTAAGAAAAAAAACAATATAATTAAAATCTTTTCATATTGTGTTTATTAATAAGTCAGGAAACAGAATCGAAAATAAATAAATTGTAATTTTGAAAGTTTAAGATATGTATAAACTAAATTTACTTGGTTGTTTTTTGCATGGCAGGTTTTTGAGCAGATAAACCAGTCGCTAAACGTTTGCGCGACATATAATAATCAGTTCTGTTATTTACAGGCTTTTTAACTGAACTTGATTTTTCCTTAACTTCTTTGGGATTGGCACTCTGAATTGACTCTTTTAGTAATTTTGCTTTGGTAACTAACGTTGTATTTGGAATTTTTGCTCCTACAGTGCGTTTTTTAACACACTCCTCAGAGGTTTTTGATTTACCACATGCTTCTGATACTAGAGAAAATAGGTGGTTTTAGGCACGAGTCTGAGATAAACCGATTCAATGATTGTCAGTTTTTAACTTACCTGAACTAAGTGTGCTAAACTTCTTATCGTCTTTTTCAGTTTCCGTCTGGAGAATTTCTTTTTCTAATTCATCTTTAATAGGTGCACAAATCTCATGATTTGAGTTGTGCAAGTCCGAATTATACAATTGTTCTGTGGAATACTTTGAATGGACAATTTTTTCAATATCGCCCAAACTCTATAGAAATAGCAAAAATAATACGTTAACTTTTTTTAAAATAAATAATTAATAAAAAATTATCATACCTGCACTGACGGAGTGCGGCTTAAATCGTATTTATTGTCTTCTAAAAACTTTGTGTATTTCAGATAAACCTTTTCAGATACTATTGCATATGGCTTTTCCTCCTCTACTAGGGCTGTTTCAATCTTAACATCCTTTGCTGGATTGATTTCAAACGTTTTAGTGGAAAGATCTGGCTTACTCTCTTTACTATTAGATGCAGTTTCATCCAATACCGCATTAGTGGTTTCATTCCCATCGGTTTTAATAGCATCACTTAAAATTTTTTGAGCTGTTTGCGGTTGTGTGGTATCATTTATGTTTGGAGTAATTTTAGCTGGTGCGTTGGTGGTTTGGCTTAAATTGTTTCGAAAGTTCAACATTTTCGTAGGACAAACAGATGGTGTTATAAGCCGTTTTTCTTTCAATTCATTGTTTGCTTGTAATGTGCAAGTATCTTTGACATTATTTTCTGAAACGACCTTATCACTGTGTTTGTCAGAGTTTTCAGATTGTTCCATATTATTTTTTGCATTCTTTAAAATAAAAGTCTTATAATATATATTAAATACTAGTGAATATCATAAATTTTAATACCTCTATCGAGCAGGCTTCGTATTCCAATAATGTGTCAATATCGAGTAATCGATTTGCATCTGTATTTGCTATTATAACAGTATCAGGCCTACAAATTTTGTGGTAGAAGGGAGCGGGCAATAAGCAATCTTTCTTTTGGTGTTTGGTTAAATCGGCTTTTATTTTATTCAATGGTTTCGGTTGATCAACCGATTTCGAATTTTTAACTGCATTGGGCTTTCCTGGGATATATAGAGTTTTTCGAGTATTTGATAAATTATGCATATTTCTTGGATATTGTGACGTCTTCATAGTACTGGGCGGGATCTTGGGTACTGCTTCTTTAGTTTTCTTAGCTTTGCTTCCCGATGCATTGTTCAGGTCTTTTTCAGTATTTCCTGTTTGCTTAGCATCAACTATACTGCTGTCACCTTTTGCTAAAGACATCGGTTTCAAAGATCTCCTGTTATATAATGTAGCTGGCTGTTTTGTTAAGGATGTTTTAGGTTGAGGATGTAGATTATTAGTCGTTCTTATTGGTCCTCTAGCAGTCATTGCATGCACACTACTTTTACTATTAGAAGATTCCACATTTTTCATACCTGGGCGCGCGCTTCTTTGCGTGTATAGATTCCTTTCCCTTGTGTTGTCAGTTCTAGACTCTGTAGCTGCGATAGTTTTTACAGTTTTTGGATTTGGTTTCGATACTTGTATTTTAGATGCATTAGCTTGTACAGTATTCAACTTAGGACCCAAAACGACTTTTGAAGCAGTTCCAACAGGTTTGGGTTTTGAGACATGTTCTACAGTTTTCATTACAGGGTACTTGGTTTTCGTATGTTTTGTATTATTCTTAATACATGTGGAATTGTCTTCATTCAAATTAACTGGAACCACATCTTTTACCGTTTTTTCAGTGCTATTCGCATGAGATCTGCGTGCAGTATTATCATCGCGCTTTATAAGTTAAATATTTTTATTTATATTTGTTTTAAATATTTATATTCTAAACTATTTATAAATAACAAAAAATCGTAATTACCGGACTTGTTGAGGCCATATTGCTTATTGAACTTCTTGCATTAGCTTCTTTATGTAGTCTATTGGGCATCTCTAAGACGTTCTTAGATGTTTTCGACGTCACTTTCTCTTCGCCATTTCTGCCAACATTGTATGTTCTGTTTTGTTGAACGCGAGTTGTTCTAACAACTAATGATCCTTTGACCTGCGGCTTTGGTTTTATTTCGTCATCTATTTTAGGCAGTATCACATAAGGTTTGTTAATTTCGCTTTTCAAATTGTGTGTGTTTGCATCTTCAAGTTCATGTATTTCTGTTAAATCGGGAGTTAGTACTCCGTTTACTTTGTTATTCGGGCTTATATCACATTCTTCCTCAGAGCTGGTAAGTCTCACAATTGTGAATGTTGCATCAGATTTTGTGGATATGACGCTATTTACAGTTTCTTCACTTGCTTTAGATAAAGTACTCTCCTGTATTGATTTCGTGCTACCACTTTTTTTTATTTTAGACCATTTATCCACAATTTTATTGGTACCTTTACGTTCGGTCTGTATTGTTCTGGAGTTAACGTATTTTTTACCTGCTTCTGCGCGCGATTGTGACGTACCCATATGAGACTTTTTAAGTTGTGAATTAACAGCTACTTCAGCATCTTTAGAATTGCCATTACCACTTGAAATCCTCTTTAGAAGTATTAATAAAAGATTTTTTAATTAATATATTTATCTATTAATAAGAAACAAATTTACCTCAGTTATTGCTGAGCCCACATTAAGCAAGTTTTTCCTAATCACCTTTTTTACAGTATTATTCACAACTTTGGACTTGCGCGACATACAAGTAGTATCTGTAGTATTCGCACTTAAAACTGTGGTCTTCTGGTTTCGCACTGATTTGGGAGGAATAATGGGCTTAAACTTTTGAGAATTTGTATGATTCTCTATGGATCTTCCAGGTACTGAAGATGGAATGCTACTTTTAACACTGTCTGTACTTTTGGATTTCTTTACGCCCACCATTTCAAACGTCACAGTGCGTTTAAGTTCAGTTTTAGACTGAACTTTTTTTTCATTTTCTGTAGTAGCATCACAAATTTCGTTATATCCTCCCAATTGTTCAAGTTTTGTTGATCCAGCTTTAATAACAGGGTTTGGCTTTTCTTTCGGTATATTGGTTTGAGAAGAACCCAATTTAGAATACAACAAGATTCTTGACCGAATACTTCCCAATTTATTACGCGATGAACTACTCACCAGTTGTGTTGCTGAATTCTTACTCTGAGGCTCTTGCTCAAAAATGTCATTAGATTTATTAGTATCAATACCGCCTGAGACTAAGCTCTGCATATCTAGTTCAGCGCTTTCTGGTTGATTTATATTCTTAGGATGGAGTACACTCTTTACGAGAAAAATGTAAGTGTTTAAAGTGTGATTGTTGATGTATTAAAAGAACCACATACCTGACTTGGGCCGTTTGTGCGACTTTGCTGTTTGGCTGAAAACACCTTTTGGAAATCCTCCATTTTTTTAGTTTCTTCGACTTCTACTGACGTACGTCCCAATTTCCCTTCTCGCGCTTTGCTTAACTTCATTCCTTTTTCTACCAAAAATCTACCATATCTGACAACAATGTCTGCCGAATATAATTTTGATATAAAAATTTTTCTGACATTGTTATCCATATTACTTGAAGAATATTTTGACAAGTATTACCATGGCAATGTTTTGAAAAATTATTTGAATTTGTTAGATAAGATTTTTTAAAATCTAATTATTAACTTGTTATATCAGTAAAATCAATGTATGTTTTTAATCGCGATTTCCTAGGTTTTCCTAGACTATGTGATTTAACTATCCAAATTTCATGGTAAATAAATATGCACTTTAACTTCAAAAACATTATTTTTCGTGTCTAAAATAATCTAATTCTTCAAATTTTATTCCTAAAATACATACTTTTATAATTATATATACTTTATAATAATTATGTACTTCTACTTGCCAACCGTTATTCGGTACTTATGAATGTGGAAGTGGATAGGCCATTCGCTTAGACAACTGACAGATCACATAGCGAGGCAAGCATTGGCATGGAATTCACAAGATAGCAGAAGACCTGGTGAAGAAGAACGGCCGAAAGCAAACTAGCTGAAGCAAGGTATACATGGAACGACATCTGCAGAGAAACAGCAAATGGAGTCAGATTTAAAAGAATTAGTAAGGCCCTATGCCCTACTAAAGAAATTGGATAATAGTAGTAGTAGTATAGTTATAACTATCTGTAGTTTATATCGTCAGTGTGAAAATTAGTTTAGCAACACAATTTGATTGCTCAGATTTTAGGGTTTAAAGTTATAAATTTTTTCTTGAAAAGATTATACAATATACAAACCCGGTATATTAATTTTGTCATAGTTGCAGATGTATTTCGTAGATATTTTTTGAGCAATCAATATAAAAATTTACAACTTTAAAGCTCATATCGCGAGAAGTAAATTATATCAATTATATAGCATACAGAGAAGTTTCTCCGAATAACCAAACTTCGCCATCAAATATCAACGTCTGTTATTGACATAACATTTTAATTGGAAAATTTTCATTAATAGAAATATTTATCTTTAAGGCGAATAAATCTTTTATTTATTATTAAGAGCATTTAACTTAAAATTGGTGTTGGTTATAATGTCACAAAAAATTTCTCATACGAATACGACAACAAATCAATTGACACTATTGTTTTCATTAATGAAATGAAATATATAGTTTAATCTTGACCTAATCGGGCAAAATCTTATATATAAAGCTAATGTGTCTTATATGACTATTATTTCTGTGATCAGAATACAATAATCAAGCCGTCGGTAATTTATAGAAGACCAAAGATCTTATAAATAACCCTATAGTCGTAAACTTCCAGTGGTACTTTACCATTCTGTGATATCGTCTATGCTTCTGCGTGAAAGAGAGGAGTAGAGAGGTAAAATACGTGATCTTTAGATTTAGGTTCTGTCAGTTGGAATAGAGGTCTATACCCCAATTATTTACTGAGACTATAGTAGTACGTATTAACAATGGTTGTTCTTCGTCTCTTTTTCAGGCTAACATCGTTGTTAGTAGTTATAGCAAATATATCATGATAGATGAAACCTTTGACAGCTTCAAAAGTATAGTCGCCAGCAAGCAGCCATGCGTTCGAGCAATGCATATTTCGGCAAGTAGCTCGCATATACTTCGTTTTGCCCTCCTTTACTGCTACGCTTATTTTACAAGAGCTAGAGGGTAGGAGAAACATCACCGCAACAAAAAAAAGTGATAGGTGTTATGTTCATAGAGACTTTCTTGGATTTATTGCAGTGTGTATAGCTTTCGATATTGGAAACAGTTTTAACATCGAATGAGGGTCGGAGATCATAAGTTTCTTCGAGTCCCGCGTAGAATATATCATTGGTCATGCACGAAATTAAGTTGATGTTAAAGCAAGTTCCTCTGATGCGGATCGAAGCAATCCATTTTTTCACTGTTGTATTCAAAATGACGCTTGTTTGCATCACAGCTTACTCTTTTTGAGTATACAGTCCTATATATTGCATTTCTCAAAAGGCCGTGATGTTAGGTTATAGCTATTGATAGCTTGAAGGTTAAATATCACTATTTCAGATACATTTTTTCGGTTGCGAATTGTTTTATTTATTAATACACCTCGCACAATACCTGAATTATTATAGAACCAGTCAAAATAATAATTAGTTAAAAAATAATAAATAATAATTGAAAGCAAGATTTATCGCTGAAAGTTTTAATGGAACACTAATTGTGCTCGTCCTCAATTCCTTTAAATAGCGAAATTTGAAACATCTGATTTGTGTGCAGTTTACTGCTAACTAATTTTCTTTTTCTTTCAGCACTATTTATCGTTTGATTTGTGGAAAGAAATATAGCACTCAGTTCGTCACAGTCCACTACACTGCAAATCTCATCCCGGTATATTATAAATATATTTGGCTCCGTTTAAACAAAGCCAGGCGCCAGGGTAGCCAGGCGAAGGACAATTGATGCCGAATTAACATCAGCGCGCTACTCATGGAACGACGGTTCAGACGAATTGTTGAGGCCCTATGCTCCACTGGGAGTTAACGGAACAAAGAAGAAGAAGAAGAGACAAAGCAGTTTTGGAAGCAGAAAGAATCTGATATTTGATTTCTGAATAATTTCAAGACAAGCAGGAAATTCTCTCTCTCATACAAACGAAGTGAGCTCCTCAAGAAGCTCACTTCAAGAACAAGCAATGGTCTGATCTAAGTAAAAAAAAAATCGTGGGTCTGTGCCTAGATAGATTTGAGCACTCATGTGCAAAATGTGCAGAAATGTGTTACTCGTGAGCATGCAATTATGAACTCTGCTGAGAGCATATAATTGAAGCGGTATTTTTGAACAATGTCTCGAAATATAATTCCATCTAATGCCAAGCAAGCAACAAACCTTTTTAAGGCTTTCGAATGAATTCCAATACGTTTAATAAAATATGGTCCAGGTCAAGGCTAAGTCCGCGAAAACACTAACCTTTATTCAAGTCCCAACAGTGTTGAGTCAATACACAAACCGTAAGCTTTTCTGAATACAATTAAACGGATTCGGCTGGTGACTAAAAGTAATTGCTATCCAAATGTGAATACACTCCATTGTTGACAGTATAATGGGTGCAGTATTTAACGTACAATGGGAATGGGAATGGTATTCTCACATCAAAAAGCGCAGTCCAAAATTATATAATACTAACTTTCCGAATATTTTGGAGTACACATGACGTCATTAGCTGTGATTTGTAATATGAATAGTTTTCTGTATAATAATAGTTGTCTATTTTACTGGCTGGATTATCATGTAATCATAATATAACACATTCAGAATTAAAAACAACTTAATGTTTTACTTGCCACTGCAAGACCTCTTTTAGGACTGATTTTATTATATTTATATTTCTTAAATCTGATATAATTTTATATAATACTCTATGATCGACAGAAACCTTTCCTTTGCCAAATATTATGAAATGAAAACTCTTCTTACAAACATCACTAAAACTTTCTCTTGGGTGAACAGTTTTTTCAAAAATATCCTTTTAGCTGAACACAGTTCTTAAGTGAACAAAAATTCGCTAACGATTAGTGTTCGCTAACGAGTAGTGTTCACTAACGAGTAGTGTTCACTAAAATGAGTTTTTACTCTTATTTTAAATGTCTGTGTAACTTTTGATTATTGCGATACGGACAGTAATTTAAAACTGTGATTCCCTAACACTTCAGTTATTTTTTAATTTGTCTATTGATAATACTGGCATAGAAATACCTTAAGTAGGGAATTCTGACAATTCGTAATACAATTACCAACATCAATTGCAAACCATATTTTAATATCGGTTAATGTACCTCCTAATATATTATATACTTTTTATTTAAAAATATAATTTTAACAAACTTCTATACCGATCTTTTATATCATATATAGTATATGTGATATACTACATGTATATAACAATCTTTGAACGAATATTTTATTTGTTGGTAATTGAAAAGAAAAGTATAAATGTAATGTACTTAGACTGGGACAGTTTGAATAAGAATAATTTTATTTTACTTTTTATATAAAATAAACATTGTTTAGTAAACGAAAGTTATAAATTATATGTCAGAAATATATATCAAAATATCAGAAAAAAATTGTAACCAAATATATAAAAATAAAGTGATGAGTGAATTTCACTCCTTAATTTGAGATAACGTTGAACATGAATCTGTTATGGGTCGGAATAATATCCATTCTGATAATCACTTTCAACGGGTTTAGTATCCTGTTTTTTGATCTTTGGGCTACTGCATGTTTGTTCATCCTACATAAACTATGATTATTATTTTATATTATTATAATAAAAAATATGTGTTACAAAATCCTCGTCTTGAAGTATTTCTCTAATTTGCATTAATGGCTTGTGTTCTTCACATACGCATAAGATCCGTTTGGTTTCATACCTTCGAACATGATACAAATGCAAGCCCTCACCATATTTTTTAGTTGAAAAATTGACATCGGGTGTAAGTTGCGGAGCACCTGTAGATAGTACATCATTACCTATTTTTTCAGCAGGTCCACTATTTAAAAATTTTTCTGATGATGTGATTTTTAATAGCATTGTATTGCGTCCACTTGGTTTCTCATCACTACTATCGCTGCCGCTTTCGCAGTTGCTTTCACAGTCGCTTTCGCAATCGCTTTCACAGTTGCTTTCGCAATCGCAATCCCTTTCGCTGTCAGTTTCAGTGTCTTCAAAATATGAGCTTTTGGAAGGAAATCCATTTGCCATATTGAAGACGAAGTTAACAAACTTAGTTTGAGTATCCAAATAGTTGATAAATTTATCTACACTATCCTCAGCGTCAGACCTATACGTACAGGATAAATTGTTTAATATTTAGCATTTACGATTAAATGAATAACTTACATCTTTGTTTTCTGTATTCCTACCTAATTGAGAAAATAGGATGATGTATTAGTGCTACCAGATTGTTGTGAACTTTCACTAAAAAATGTTTCTTTATTTAAGAAACTTTAAGGTCTATTTATTTATTTTAAAAATAAATATTTTGTTTACAATGTGTAAACTTTTTATTAATTAAATAATTATAATGCCTTCTTTAATATATTTAAAAATTTCGTCGTTTTCACTATAACTTTAAAGCAATGCACATAAATCTTTTCAGACACTAACAACCTTAACAATATGTATATATATAATAAATAAAATAATAATAAAAAAAATGTATTATAATAAATATGATAGCAAACATATTTAATCCATTGATGACCTATCAACATTTTTTGATTATCTGTTAATCCTTCAATCAGGCATCACTGATATTGATGTGCAGATAAGTTTTTTAAAGAACCATTTGCTAATTAATAGGTCTGTTCCACGAGCTACTCATAGTAACTTTGAGTAAACACTGTGTATATATAAGCGCGTTCCACCAGCAAATTTTCAAGTATTTTTGTGCAAATTTTACTTCTGTTTTACTATGAGTAGCTCGTGGAACAGACCTAATATTTTCTTCAGATTTCTGCACATTATAATGGGCACATTATGGTAATTACCTATTAATACCATTCAATTAAAGAAGATTTTCTGATATTTTCGGATAATATCCTAGTCATTTTAATGAAAATAAGACTATAGAAAACAATTTTTTTTGTTTTAATTTTTTAATGGTAACTCAAATGGGATTTTAGGGTCGTATGTCTAAGACAAATGAATTTATTTATTAAAGCTTACTCAAAATGCAAAACTTATATCTTTTCAAATGATTTAATTTTTTATTATTTTTTTAATACATCAATACATCAGCGGTCCAAATAGGGACGATGAGGTTTGCCAATTTCTTCTTGTTGCATAATGTATTGTGCCTGATCGTGTTTTGCCGCATCATAGCTAAGAGCTTTCAAGACAGCTGCACCATCCAATACCGTTCCTGTCATATGTTTCATTGCCTCTTTCGTACAATTTTTTATGAAATGAATAACCAGATCATTTAATAGGTTAATACATTCCGGGTCAACATTGTTGACAACGCCCATACCAGCCAATAATTGCTTAATTTCAACGGAAAAGTCTACGTTGCGGGCAATTCCAGTTGCGAGCGATTTCTTTTTATTTATTTTTGCTTTCTAGAAGTGTATATTCAGCAATTATGTTCTAACAATATATATTTTATAAACTTACGCGAATTTTTCCAACCATCTTTACTATTTCTTGACAGACTGACTGAAATCATACTAATCAGAACTAGGTGTAGCAAATTATTGGAGAGTGTGGAGAGTTTGGAGAATTTCATCTCATCTTTGGGAAATTATTATTCGTATATTTGCCAAAACTTATAAAAAAGAAAATTGTTCTGTAAAAATCATAATTTTTATTTAATTACTATTGAATTAATTAATTTCTTTTTTTATTCTATTTAATCGCAAATTTGAACTCAGCAGATCCAAATTTTCCTAAAATCATTGAAGAATCAAAAACGGGAAAAAGACTTCAGTTTTATCTCATAATGGAAATAGGCAGTTAAATTGTATCTAATCAGGTGTTTTAGTAAATAAAATATTTGTTCATTGTTGTTGGAATTGAACCTATTAAATGGAAATTTTAAATGCCGTTGGTGGAGCAGTTAAAGATGCCAATGGTTGGAAGAAGGCATGGGTGCACATGAGTTAAAGTAGTCAAAAATGAAAATAAGAAATGTTAACAGTTAATATTATTTATATGTAAAAGAATTATACATACAAATATGTAAAATGACATAGTCGCATTTCATTTTAAAATTGTAGTGTGCATATTTCTTAGAGTAACTATATTGAAAAATTGTAAATAAAAAAACTCCATTGTTCAATTTTAGATCCAAAAGCAAGGGAAAAGTTCAAGAGTACAAACATGCAATGGGGCTTACCGGAAATGCGTCCGTAGGTATAAGAAATTTAACCGACCTGAATGAACGGATTATTACAGTAATGCATCCAGTTGCGGTGCAAGGCATGGACGATGTCTGCGAGCCAACAATGCATGTTGAAATTGATATTTCATGTTTTGATAACATAGAAGTACGTATTTGAGGCGAATGACTTATTATCGCTTTTATTTTTTTATAAAATTTTTAATTATTAATCTAATAAATGTTTAATTTTAGTACCTTGAGGATGGTAAGGAACTGCCAAGCGGTTCAGGTCCATTTCGTGGTGTCAACGACGAGGGTTGTGTGCATTTAAGAGCTAATCGTCCAACTAAGCGAAGAAATCCAAATCACTCGTTAGAACAGACCAACCAAAAGTCCGTCGAGTTGGAGGAGAAAAGGCTGAAGCTTGAGGAGCGCCGACTTGAGCTGGAGGAAAGAAAGCTCAAGCAAGAGAAGGAGATTGCGGACCAACACGTGCAGGCCACTAAAGAGCATACAGATGCTATAAAACTATTAGCGGATGCACTTAACAATTTTAATAAATAGAATAAGGCTATTGTAAGTTTTTTATGGTGGATAGGCCTACTGAGGAACCAGCCATATAAAATAATTTGGTTAACGCATTATGTGCAATACCTCAGGATGATGTGGAAATTTGCGCTAATAAAATAATTGTTTATTTTTAAAGTTTTTCTTCCACATTAAACACTGAAGATAAAATATTTGTGATACAAATAAGTTTTTATAAAAACTAAAATACAATTAAATATTTAACACAAATTTATAAGTATAATATTTATGTGTTGAAGTAATGACCTATGCTCAGTATTAATAAAAAAGTGTTCAATATTGGTCATAATAACAATTTATTATTAATAAAACAATATTAAAATAATAACAATATAAATAAATACATATTTTAATAATATTAAAACTTATTTAAATAAAACCCGATTAATATTGAAAATAATTATTGATTATTTCCTCTCTTGCTATAAACGCTTCAGGGACGGATTATTCTGCTTCAAAGTCATTATCTTCATTTATTTCTTCGTTCGTGTTTTCTGCGTATTTAATATCATTAACTTCGTTCATTATATTATGTTTAATAATGAGTTATGTAGCACCAAATATGAATTAACAATTTTGCCCGTTGTTTCAGGATCATACATTAAAATTCTTTCGCTGCTAAGGCAACGAAATCTACTTTTTAATAATCCGAAACAAGGCTCCATGCAATTTCTTGCCTTTCAATGTTGCACATTATAATTATTATGTGCCGTCGACAAATTATTTCCTCGAACAGGTGTCTTCAAAAACGGCAGGAGGGGATGACCGCTATCTCCTAAAAATACAAAAACTTTTTCTTATTAAATAGTATATTATTTAATTGATCCACACACTAATGTTATATTAATTTAATTTTAATTTAAATTTCACAAAAGTATTAAGTACTTTTTTCCTGCAGTCTCTGCTTTTAAATTTTAAATTTAAATTATAATTCCAACAGCTGATATTTGTTCACAATTTTTGCATTATCCACATCGCCGGATAAATTTAGCGAAGAGATTGTGTTAACATAATTGCATGATCGCTTATCTCCTAAAATAAACGAATCACTTATTTAAGAATTTTAGCGAAGAGATTGGAGTTTGAGCGATAGCGATTAGTGGAATTGGCCTACAGGTTTCGGAACAATACAAGAGAACTGAAAGATCGCATGCTTTTAAGATTTTTAACTTTGTGCGTGAACTATAGTTGTTGGAGCTTCACATTTTACGAAGCCTTGTAAAAGGTTTCTATATTCTATTTATGTCATCTTGCGCTACACATCAATTTTTTGACACAATACTCCCCAGATACTGGAATTTATTTATATGTACGATGGTCTGTCACTGTTTCCAATTTCAAAGGTTCGTCAACTTGATGGTTTATTCCGACTTCTTTTGTTTTCTGTAGATTCAGTTGAGGCCATTATGTTTTTGTTATTAAAATAATGAATTTTTAATATTAAAAATTATTACAAATAGTTCGTAAGTTATATAAATTAAGATTAATAAAATTAGTAATAATATAAATACAAAATAATAAATAAATAAATTAAAAGTAAAGAAATAATAAAATATTTAAAAAATTCTATAAATAAAATAAATAAAATCTAAATACATGTCTAATGTTGATCTCAGGGGGTTATAATAAGTATAAGAATAATTAAAACGCTAAGTACTTTGCAAACATACTTATTAATTAATGATGAAGAGATTAGATATTTTATATTTTAATTAATTTAATTTTAAAAAATTTATTATTAATTAATTTTTAATTTTATTTATTTAACTTTTAAAATCAGTTAAATGAAATATTTGGTATTTTTTATGAAATAAAATGAAATTTAAAATATTTACATTGTATGAAGTACCATCACGCATTTAGATATTATTTTTACAACTAATAGGAATAAAGTTATAGAACACACTAAATATTTTATTAAGTTGCGTGCTTAAATTTTTAGTTGTAAATTTTAAATACTTACTGTTAATTTTGTATAGTCAAACCAAAGAATCTATAGTACAAAGAAGTGCCACGCTCATACAAACGAAATACCCACTTTATTTTGCTGGTGGATTTATAATAAATCCTCATGCAACAATGTTCGATCGAGTCACAACTGGTATGATGTTCAGTTCAAACTCATTGCAACCCACAATTGTTTTTATATGCCTGTTTCTTTTGCCTTTCTTGTTTTTATTTGTCTATTTAATTCATATACATGGATTGGTAACGAAGTGAATGGTAAAGAAATCCCTGAAACAATTTTTTCATATACGTTGTTGCTTTATTTTCTTGTACTTTATTTTCTTATTGCAAAAAATGATGCACTACAAAAACCATTATGTATGTACAAATGTGATATTGGAGACATTAAGTCTGCAGTATATTAATATGTATGTTTTTATTGCACATTTGTGCATATATTTTACCTTAAAAGGAACTACTTCTTAATAGTTTGAATTTTTAATGACTTTTTGTAATTATTTTAAAAAATATTTGCAAGATTCATATAAAAGTGTTTGAAAAGTATTTTAAAAAAAATAAAAATATTAGAAATGTAAGAAAAATTATGATGAAAAAATGTGTAGAAGTCACTAAAACCACTAATAATGCCTCCTGATTTGAGGAAACGCATGAATGCTATTTACACCGGATTGAAATGTTAAAATTGGTGTTTACGATATTGCTTCGGAAATATTGCGCATGGACAATATTTAAGAATAAAGCTTCATACAATTGAAGAAATCAGATGTGAGACATAAATAAATTTGTAATGTATTTTAACACTACAATTCATACCAATAGTAATTTTGTTTTTGTTTTATACTATTAAATTCAAAAACTTATCAAATGTACACAATTTTGACTTCGTCACTGAAATGCTGTTTGATCGCTTGAACATTTTACAGCGAACAAACATACAAACATGCATATAATGTAATACAGAGGGTTGCATGTATGATTGAATACGTATGCAGTCGGGCTTTTGTCAGCCTTACTCGACTCACATATAGGTTTGAACTGGACATCATACCAGTTGTGACTCGATCGAACATTGTTGCATGAGGTTGGGTGGATTTATTATAAATCCACCAGCAAAATAAAGTGGGTATTTCGTTTGTATGAGCGTGGCACTTCTTTGTACTATAGATTCTTTGGTCAAACTATTTTTTATGATTATATTAAATTTTCTTAATTCAATTTTATTAGCTTTATTTAAACTATAATAATAAGAACTTTAACATATATTTAATTATATATATGTATGTATATATACATAAAACATAATAAGATATTAAACACCATGGTGTTTGTTAATATATATCATCATATCATTGCTACTATAGTGTATAATACTATCTTCACTGCCAAACATATTTATACCATTACACTAACAACAACTATGGTTACGCTACTGCCGGTGCTTACTTATCTCATAATAGGCAAGCCGCATATATTTGTAGGAGACCAATATAAAGTTTCATCAAAAATCAATTTTATAATAATTTGGAAACAAAGTCAATCATTATTTTACGAAAAATATATACAAAAACAAAATTATGCATTGACTTCAGAAATATTGCCTCATCTACCCTTGCAACCGAAATTATTTAGTAAGTTTGCAATAGGAATGAAGAATAGAAGAAGTGTCTCCGACTACCATTAAACGCCCTTTCCTCTCTATTCCCTCTTTTGCAAAAAGAAAAAAATTTTCTTAATAAAAAAAACGATAAATTGCACTTTACTGATTGCCATTTCGTCTCGATGCAGC